GAGGGCCGACTCAGGAGGAGACGGAAGCACAGACGGAGACGGACGAGGTGGACGAGAACAAAGGAAGGCTGTACGAAGGTCAGTGAAGGGAACAGGAGACGAGGGACGAGCACGAGGGGAGCGACGAGAGGCCCAAGTCTGAGAAGGAGGAGGAGACAACGAAGACTGAGAACGAGGGAAAACAGCGGGAGAGGGGTCAGGAGGAGGAAGCGGAGGACCAGAGACGGGAGGAGAGGGGGAGGAGGAAGGAGAGGGAGACGGGAGACCAAGGGTCCGAAGACCCGAGACAGGAGGAGGAGACGGCAGCAGCTGCTGCTGCTGCTGCTGCTGCCGCGGCTGCTGTGGCTGCTGCTGCTCCAGCGGCTGCTGCCTCTGCTGCTGCTCCTGCTGCTGCTCCTGCTGCTGTCGCTCCTGCTCCTCGAGCCGCTGCAACTCTCTCTCCTCTCTCTCCAACTCCAGCTGCTCCTCACGAGCACGGCGAACACGAGCCTGGAACCTGGTCGGGTAGGGGTGGGGGGAAGGAGTAGTGTCCGGGGCAGCGGCAGCCCCAGAGTCGACCTCCGAAGCACCAAGCACACCACCCCCAGAGGCAGCACCAACACCAGCTCCAGACCCAGGCTCTCCAGAAACCGAAGGGACACCCTCACCCCCAGACGCAGCACCCCCAGACTCCGCACCAGCACCCCCAGACTCCGCACGACCAGTACCAGCCCCCGGAAGACAAGAGTCCTCTGCAACCCGCGGCTCAGCTCCAACTCCAGCACCCCCAGAACCAGAGACCTGTACAGGGACAGTCGCAGGACCAACCTCCCGAGAGGGAGCACCTGCAGGAGGCGGCGAGGAAGACTGTGGGGAGGGAGGCTGTACAGGGGGGGCTACCGAAGGGGGAGGGCTAGCCTGAGACACACCAGACGGGGCTGGACCAGGGGGGGGAGGCTGTACCGGGGGAGCAGGCGGGGGAGCGGCTGTCAGGAAGAGGGGGGGAGGAGGAACCAGGAGACCTCGACTGGGGTACCTGACGTAGTACGGGGTGGACTCCTCGAAACGGACGTCACGGGAGTCAAAGAACCGGTGAGAGGGAGGGTGGTAAAAGGTGAAGTCAGAGGAGTCCTCAGGGAAACCAAGGAAGACACAAGGAACGGCGCGAGGCGAGAGCTTGTCCGCGGAGGTGTCGCGGACAAGAGCCAAGCACCCCCAGACACGAAACCTCGACGCGACACCAGGGGACCCTGTCCAAAGACTGGTCGGTGAAGCCTCCGGCCGAGAGACGCGTGGCCAGAGGTTCAGCTGGTGCGCGGCGTACCTGACTGCGTATGGCCACAGGAAATGGGGGGCACGGGCGTGAGTCAAGGAGGTGCGGGCAATCTCCATGACCAGGCCTATGCGACGCTCAGCAACCCCATTCTGCTGTGGGGACTCCGGAAGCGTCCAGGACTGACGAATGCCCTGTTCGCGACAGAATCCAGCGAGAATGCCGGAGCGAAACTCGCCCCCGCGGTCGGAGTGGAGACAGCTGACACGACGACCACGAGTGTCCTGGGTGGTAAGCAACCACCTGATCAGTGTAGAAGTCACCTCAGACTTCCTCGCCAGGGGGAACACTGTGGTATAGCGGGAGTAGTCGTCAACGACCACCAAAAAGAAACGCTCACGCTCAGGGCCAGGGCAAGGAGAGGGGCCCCAGACGTCCAAGTGCAGCGTCTCAAAAGGCTCGGTGGCCGGACGAAGGGAGGAGGAGTGAGGGGTGGCACGCAGCCTACCCTCGACGCAAGGACCGCACGGTGGTGCAAGGGACGGCGGCAGCGACGGCAAGACACGCGGGAGACCTAAGACCAGACGCTGACTAGACATAGCACGCAGACGTGGAAGAGAAGGGTGTCCCATCCGGTGGTGCCACAGAACGGTGGGGTGGGCAAGCGACCGACAGGAGCAAGACGCAGCGACTGGACTGGACGCGACAACCTGAGGGGACGGAACCACCTGGTGAGACGCAGGGAGGAGACTAGGGGGAGGGACAGGAACTGGGAGGAGTGGCTGCTGCGACGGCGGCCGCTGTGGCTGCGGCTGCTGCTGCTGCCGCTGCTGAGGCTGCTGCTGCTGCTGCTGCAGTCGCTGCTGAGCGCGCGGGCCAGTGTGAAGAGTGTAGAGACCGGAGCCCGGCTCAGCAGCAAAAGTGGCGAGAGGCTGGTAAGAGTCCCCGTCAACACACACCGCAGTCTCTCCAGAAGGCTCAAACCACACACCCACGTGCTGACTCACAAGGGGTCGCACGCCCACCAAGTTCCGGGAGAACGAGGGGACGTGAAACCCAGTGAGAGACCCAGAAGGAGCAGCCGGACACGGCAAGGTGGTAGTGTGACGCGCGGTGACTGGTCCCGAAGTGGGATCAGCCAGCGCCACAGAAACAGGCGCAGGAAGAGGCGTAAGTGTCGTGCTGTCACGAAAGAAGCAGTGAGAGGCTCCAGAGTCCAGCGTGAACGACAGCGAACCGTCCTCTGAGGTAGCCGCTGGACTAGAGTCTACACAAGAACCTACACTAGCAACAGGCAACTGAGCAAGGCTAGCACCTAAGCTAACAACACCAGAGTAAGCAGAGTCAGAAACACTAGAGTCAACAACAGCATACATAGCATGAGGAGCACCAATCAGATCAACTAACTGCTCAGCAGACATGCCCCACAGAGCGGAGCCGTAGCGCTGAACCAGAGGAAGCCAGTCAAGGGCAGGACCGCCAACCCCGTAGGCCAACCGGACCGTGTCAGTGAGCTGAGCAAAGCACTGACCAGGGGGGTGAAAGCGGCCACAAGGGTGGCCCCGACGAGGACCTGTCAGAACCTGATAGGTGCAGGGAGGGTAAGCAGCACCACGCTGGGGCTGACGCAGCCCCGACCCCGGAGCCAGCTGCTGACGCTGCTGCTGCTGAGGCTGCTGGGAGGAGAGGGGCTGCTGCTGCTGCTGAAGCCGCTGCTGACGCTGAGCCTGGTACCACGCCGCTGCTCCACCTAGCGGGGCCGGCAGTACAGGAGACGACTGACGAGCTCGGGTGTCGCCACCACCAGCAGGCGCAGTGGAGTCACCAGCCGCTGCACGAGAGGTCTCTCCAGACGCTGCACTCCCACCACCGCCAGTCGCAACAGCACCCCCACTACCTCCGCTACCTCCGCCTCCACCTCCACCAGAACCACCTTTCTTGCCCCCCTTGCCGCGGGACCGCGACGCAGTCGTAACAGCAGCTGCAGTCGCGTCAGTAGCGGCAGTGGCAAGAGAGGCAGTGAAGGTGGGTAACTGCGGGACTGTGCACCCGTGGAAGAGTGGGGGGGGCACAGCACCAGAGGCGGCAGCTACCGAGCGAAGGTTGCTCTCGACGTCCTTGAGCGCAGACTCAAGGACCTCAACTGTCAGCTCACTAGGGTGCTTCAGCAGGAGCGCGTCACGTACGGAGGCAAGGCGGTCAGGGAGGCTAGTGGCGATGAAATAGATAGTAATCGCCATGGGGGGAGGAAGCAGTGCAAGCTGTGCCTCAGTGCAAGCAGCGCGGTAACTAGCGTCGAGCGAGCGGAGGTGAGCGATCAAGTCAGCAGAGCGCTCAAACGAGGCGAGATCAGGAAACAGGAACGGGAGGAAAAGACGGCCAAGAGAGACAGTAGCGGGAGTAGAGTAGCGGGCCTTAATCGCAGTGAGGTACGCAGCAGCGGTGCGAACCTGAGTGAAGTGGACCTCCTCTGACTCAGGGAGGAGGCTGCTGAGTGCGATGCAGGCCGCAGCGTCACGCGACGTCCAAGCCGTCCTGTCAGCGCGCTGACGGGCAAAGCGAGCCGTAGCAGCATCGTCAGGGGCAGGACCTAAAGCGGCAGGCTCGGGGGGCTCGGGGAGGTCACCAGTAGCGTGCGACCAGAGGGTCTCGCCCCCCTGGACTTGACTCTCTAACAGACGGCGAGCGCGAAGGAGCCAGACGGAAAAGTCAAGAGGTCTGCCGTCAGCGTCGAAACGAAGAACTCGCGGAGTCGCCATAGCGAAAACTAACGCGAACGAGCAGGCGAGTAACAGCAGGAGGTAAGAGGCAAATTAGGGTTCAGGTGGGACTTAGTCGCAGCGGAAGAGCGGGCTAGAGCGACGGGCCAGGGCGTAGGGTCGACGGGACGGGGGAAAGGGCGGGCACGATGCGACGGGGCAGGGCGACGCGACGGGGGAGGGCGACGCGACGGGGTAGGGAGACGGGACGGGGCGGCGGGACGGGGCAGGGCGACGGGACGGGACGGGGACGGGACGGGGCAGGGGCGACGGGACGGGACGGGGCGACGGGACGGGACGGGGCAGGGCCGCGGGACGGGACGGGACGGGGACGGGACGGGGCAGGGGCGACGGGACGGGACGGGGACGGGACGGGGCAGGGGCGACGGGACGGGACGGGGCAGGGCGACGGGACGGGGCAGGGGCAACGGGACGGGGCAGGGCGACGTGACGGGGGGAAAGGGCGCGACGCGACGGTGGGAAAGGGCGCGACGCGACGGGGGGAAAGAGCGCGACGCGACGGGGGGAAAGGGCGCGACTCGACGGGGGGGAACGGGCGCGACGCAACGGGGGAAAAGGGCGCGACGTGACGGGGGGGAAAGGGCGCTAGGCTCGGCACTAGGCGCGGTAACAACGGAACCGGTACGAACGAGAGGTAGGATCAGGCTCGGGAGATACGAACGGAGAACGGAGGAACGGGATCCCACAGGATCCTAACCTAACTGATACCATGTCAGAATGAGGAATGGATGATGCATTGATGTTGGTTGGGGTACATATAGCTAACCCTAAGTTTTGTACCCCCTAAGACAAACCTCACTATAGGCTACAACATTTGACATAAAATTGCCAAGCAAAAACGCCATTCGTGATTAGTATTCTAATAACATTCATCCATAAGGGTCCAAGGACAGTCTTTTCACATCCTTTAGACAACTACTTCAAGCTAACTACTCTACCCCAATCCCATCTCAAATGCACTGGCTGGTTCACAAGCGAGACTGCATACCCCCAGCCACCACAATGGTTTCGCCAGTGATATAAGCTGCATCATCTGACGCCAAGAACGCAACAGCTCCAGCAATATCTGACGGAGAACCCAGCCTCTTCAGCAAAGTGCGTTCTTCCGTCTCCTTCCTAATCCCCTCATTCTCCACCAGGTAGCTCGCAAACTGAGTCGGAACAATCCCTGGAGCAACACAATTTACACGGACTTCTGGAGCCAGCTCGACAGCCAGGGCTTTCGTCAGGCCCAATAGAGCAGTCTTTGTCACAGAGTACATGCCAAGCATGGCGATCGGGTTGAATCCAGCGATGGACGCGACAAAAACGATGTTCCCCCCTGGCGGGATGTGCGGAGCCATCTCCTTAACCAGCAGAACTGCTGCCTTGATGTTTGTATCTAGCAACTTATCCAGCTCACGCTCCCCCATGTCCAGGATTGGCCCTAACGTCGGATTAACAGCTGCGTTCGACACGAAAATATCCACGCGACCATACTTGGCAACCACAGCATCAGCCAATTTCCGGCGGTGCTCAGCGCTCCCCACGTGGCAGACCATCCCCATCGCGTCTATACCCTTTTCGCGAAGCCTTGCGACGGCTGTGTCGACGTTCGCCTGCTTGCGCGATGAGACGACCACTGATGCGCCCTCTTGGCCAAGACGCTCCACTATTCCGAGGCCGATTCCCGCAGTGGATGCTGTCACAACGGCGACCTTCCCCTGCAAACGCTTCGCCATGGCTGCTGCTGATGAAGCCAGAGACGATCGATAGACAAAACACAGTGGTTGAGAGGAATACAAACTCTCCAGAAGTAATCCTCGTCGACTCGGAAAAGGGAGTCGGCCTCAAAGATCGAACGTCAGTGGTAGCTGAGGAATCTGTGTCAAGCCTTCTGCATGAGAGGGACGGGGAATCTGTATTCTATCTGGTGTGACGTATGAGGGGGGGATATGAGAGTTGCAGTTTGGTGGGTTGGCTTCATGCATTTGGGAAAATTATTTATACATATGTTATTCCGAGGTAGTGTTAGACGCGTACACGTAACACCTGTGACACTGCGAGACAGCTTTGCCGCTGCGAAAACTTTTGTACTGTACATTGTATGTCAAGTGTTCATCGCGATAGTGCTCGAAATTCGCACGGGCACACTTATCTTACCCTAATGCTGGGTAGCCAACCGCGAGGCAGAGGCGAAACTAGCTGGTAACACGTCGTTCGAGAAACAACGCAATGCCCCGCAGAAATTCATCGAGGGTTTTTGCAAGGGTTTACTGGTGCACAAGCCGACTTTCCGCCCTGGCGCGGGCGCAACGCCCTCAATCAGGTTTCCCGCGCGTGACTTCAACGTTCTTCGCCGCTATCCCTCCCCAACCCAACCATGCGCGCAAAACCGCTTTGCGCATTCCCATCTGCGCGTGGCATTTCCGCATTTCCCCCCGCCTTTCCCCCCAACCCCTCCTCCTCGCCGTTCTTCTTCCTAGCCCACCTCACCATCTCTCTCTTTTACCTTCTCGTCCCCTCCACCCGCCGTTTCTCACGCTTTTCGCGTGGACCGCAAGTACTTCTCGACCCCAGCGGCAACTTTAGGGTTTCTCTCTTTCCTCCCAGTTGTGCAGTAGGCTCCGTGTTCATAGAGGCATCATGGTGTCGGGCAGCGGAGTGGTGAAGCAGACCATTGTGGTCGACGCGCGTCACCACATGCTGGGGCGCCTCGCGTCCATCGTTGCTAAGGAGCTCCTTAACGGCCAGCATGTGGTAAAGATCACAGGACTTTTTGTCTTTCTAGACAGGGTTATAGATACTTTTTGTCATTCTAGATTGCGATTATGGTTAGTCGCCAGGGGTGGGGTTGCGGAGTCGCATCGCGGATCCAACATTGGAATTTGGGATTCATCTTTCGGAAATCAGGCTGCATCGGCTTAAATTGCGCTGACGTTGGGGATTCCACACGTGCACCTTTCTCGTTCCCACTATCATCCCCGTAACTTTAGTCGCCTCGCTATCCTTCCGCACGCATCGGATGGTGTCTCGCGGAACCGCCACCACAAGCATTTGTCGTAACGCATTTTTCCGCCATACGCGTTTGTACCGCGTTGCAGTGCAGCAGTTAACGGTCAGCCTAAATTCCTAGCCTACATATCACATCCCTGAACCCGTTTTGCCTCGCAGACTCAACCCGTGGCACATTCCCCCTTTCCCCCGATCCGCGCAGGTGGTGGTGCGGTGCGAGGACATCTGCCTGTCGGGCGGGCTTGTGCGCCAGAAGATGAAGTACCTCCGCTTCCTGCGCAAGCGCATGAACACCAAGCCCTCCAAGGGCCCCTTCCACTTCCGCGCGCCCTCCAAGATCTTCTGGCGCACTCTCCGCGGGTAATATGCTGCCTTCCCTTTCTTCCCTCCCCCTCCCCCTTTTCCGCCCCCCTGCGCTCGCGTTCCCCCCTGATTCGCATCGGTCGCAATGGGGCCACCGCACCTTCGTCGTGCAATGACTCGCAGGTTTGTTGGCTGGTAGTTTCGCGTTGAGGAAGGAGGCCACTGCTGCCAGGGAGCTACCTTGTGTGAAGTCGAGGGAGTCGATTTAGGAGGTACCGACAAGAGTTGAATCGTTTGTTTAGGAGATAGATCACTCTGTCTCCGCTGATAATTCTCAGCGGGTATCTTATCTTGCGAGCTTGCGCGGCCCGTCTTTTGCGCGCGGAAGCTGGTCGAGCACGTAATTGAAATCAAAGCAGAAGGTTTTCTTTCTAGGGACGTTGTGCGAGGGGCGTCCGCGGTGCCGCCTATCTGTGCAGCAGCGTTTGCTTCCTCTGGTAACTTGTTTTGCACCTCTGAGAACACCATCGCCTGTTGCTGCGTTGAGGTCTCGCACTTGTTTTGACGCCAATCCTCATCCTGCATTTCGTTTCCCCGCCCACACCCATCCCACCCCCTTCCTTCATGCTTTTCCGCGCATTCCCGCCTCTCCGCCCCCCTGGCAGCATGATTCCCCACAAGATTCCCCGCGGCGCCGCTGCTCTGGACCGCCTGAAGGCGTTCGAGGGCATTCCCGCGCCCTACGACAAGATGAAGCGAGTCGTCATCCCCGACGCGCTCAAGTGAGCCGCGCCGCGCCGCGCTGCCTCTCGTGTCGTGCATATGTGCTCGGCGTGCTTGGCTTGAGAGTTGAACCGAAGTCAATGGTTTTCTTTAGCAGTCGTCTACCGCCTTACCGCAGCTACCTGCCATTTTTTGTCTCAGTTCCTCTCCCTTCTTTCTCTAAGCAAAGCCACTAAGTGTCCCGTCTCCCTCCCCACTCATTTCCCCCTCTTCCCCTGCTTCCTGCTCCCTGCCCTCCCTCTCCACTCGCTTCACTCCTCGCCCTCCCTTTTCCCTCTGTCAAACGCAACGCACACACCACCCACACTAACCACGCAGGGTGCTGCGGTTGAAGCCTGGGCACAAGTTCTGTCTGTTGGGTCACCTTGCCCATGAGGTTGGCTGGCATTACTGGGATGTTGTCAAGGTGAGTCACTGATTCCTAGCAATACATCATCACCTGAGTAGCAATACATCATCACTTGAGTATTCAGCACCTGCTGACATTGTAGTTTGCTCTCCCCCCCTCCCCCGCTCGTTTGCACGCTTGTCGCCCCAAGTTTCTGGTTTCGCGTTGGGTGTGTTGGATGCTGCACTAGAAACCCATTCTGCCTTGTTTTGAGATTTGTTTTACTTTTTGTAATGTTCAGGAGCTGGAGGCCAAGCGTAAGGCCGATGCCGTGGAGTATTACAAGGAGAAGAAGGCGACTATTAAGGCGCGCGCAGATGCTGTTAAGAGTGTGTTGGCGGCTGATGCTGACCTTAGTGCCACGTTGGCAGCTGTTAGCTACTAGGTTGCCTGTTGCAAATTGCGATGAGATGATATGGATGACCCATCAAAGGAAATATGTTTTGTGAATGTTTCAAAAAGTTCAGTTCAATGGCCTAATGGATACCCCGAACCGGTGGATGGTTTCATTCTTGTAACGATATTCGAAAATGTTACGGGGTATGTTATCGCGTTGCTCACACCCTAGTGTACCTGACAGCTTGTCCTACGTGGTGCTTGGCGCATGGTGAGTCAACTCGGCCTGGAACTTCTCGTGGAGCCGCATGCAGCTCCCCAAGGCACGTCATCACGCGCCTCGGCAATTTCCCATTTTCCTTGCTCACATCGAGTGATCACATTTCAGGACCTCAGCTACGGTACAACCCATCTCCATTCAGTGTGTGAACCTTGCAGAATCCGCATGTTTGCGCCTCCAGTTCCCTTGTCATTATGAAAGCTAGATCACATGGTCACTGCGACATTTGAAGGTCCAGCAGCTTCAAGTCGCACGCGTAGGTAGCCTGACTCCCGCGTCGCTCGTCGAGCGACAGCTTCTCTTGTGTCTCCCGATTTGAACCGTGCTCAAGTACTACTCGCTTCTCTTCCAACCTCTTAGGCACTAGCATAATTAGCAGCGGTAGTGCTACGACTCGTAGCAGTCGCCTTTTCATCATGCTGACAGTCGCGTCGTTCGTGACGTCGCTCGTGACGTCCGCGCTCATCTTCCTGCTGCTCCTCACCCTCTTCTCCATCCTCATCCGCCGCCCCGCCAACTTCCCCATCTACTTCCCCAAGCGCATCCTCCGCGGGCACGGCCCTCCGCCACTCGCGGAGATCTCCGCGCTGGAGTGGCTCCGCCGCGTGCTGCGCTGCACGGAGCAGGACGTGGTGCACTCCGCGGGGCTGGATGCGGCGGTGTATCTGCGCGTGCAGCGCATGTGTCTGATGATCGTGCTGTGGCACGCCGCGTACTGCCTCCCCGTGCTCATTCCGCTCTGCGCCACGGGCGGGTTTTATGCCTCCTTCAACGCGGGGCGGCCTCCGGCGGAGCAGATCCAGTTCTCCGCGCTGGACGCTATTGCGATGGGGAATGTGCCCGTGAGTGCTGCTTGAATCTACTCTGTGTGGTCTCTTTTGAGTCGACTCAAAGTACATTCAGACTCCGAGTCTGAGTCAGATCCCCATCTCCAGCTCTCTGCGCTGGATGCCATTGCGATGGGGAATGTGCCCGTGGGTGCTTTCTTAGTCGATGCAACTTGATGCACCGGATCCGCAAAAGCCATTCTCAGCAGATACTTGCCATCTTGTTCACTAAAAATAATGAGTCCATACGTTAATGAGTCTGGTTGTTTGCCTCCTTACAGATACTAACTCGTAACCCGTGGGTCGGTGTGCCCTGTATTCCGGGCAATCCATGGGAGCTCATTTTGTGATCGGACGAGAATGCTTTCACTGGTCTTAAGTACCAACCAAAAGTTTTATTTCCAGCTATAATTCACCTTTCTATCCCACTCCTATCTTGTCTACCTCCCTCCCCTAACGCTGCGTTCTACGCCCAGCCCAACGACTCTCGCTTGTGGGCCTTTTTCGTGGGCGCGTATTGGTCCGCGCTGGGCACGCTGCTCATTCTGCACTGCACGTACCGCCACGTCAGCAGGCTGCGCGCCAAGCAGAGGGAGGAGGACCCCGAGGTGCAGGTGGAGGAGTTCGCAGTGCTGCTGCGCAACATCCCTCCACACCGCTGTGCACACAAGACCACCGCTTCTGCTGCTGCTGCAGCGGCTGCTGCTGCTCCCTTGCCTGGTTCTGCTGGTAGTGCTGGCGGTGCTGGTGTTGCTGCAGCTAGTGGCAGCGATAGTAGCGGCAGCAGCAGCAGCAGCAGCAGCACCTGCTGTGTCAGCACCGCTGCTGCCGCCGCATGGAGAAGCAGGGTTGGGAGCGAGAGGAGCAGGGGCCCCAGCTGGTAGCGGCGTTGATAATGACAATGAGGAGGATGGTGATGGTGATGATGACGATGGTGATGTGTGGAGGAATGAAGAGGAGGAGGATGGGGACAGGGGACGGCAGCAGATGAAAGTCCCAGCAGAGAAACATGGGCGAGATGAGGAGCTGGGATTGGCGGAGGGAACTGGAGGAGGAAGTGTGGGTGGTGGAAAAGGAGCAGGAGGCGGAGGAAGAGGCAGTAGGGGTGACAGTGGTGAGAAGGCTGTAAGGTCCAGGAGGAGGGAGGCGGCAGATGTAGTGGATACGTTGTTCGGGTGGCTGTATGGGGAAGCCTACTGTGGCGTGAACATACTGCGATCCCTGGATAAGGTACGGTACTGATTGTCGTTGAATATGCGATGCCATACCTCCCTGCCTCCTCCTTTCGTCGTTCGTCTCTGCCTTGTTTCCGTATGAGAGAGAAACCGCAACATTTCCATGCAGCAATGCAATGGTGATGCCCGCATCGAAGCAAACACCGCCTGTCTGCCTGCCTGCCTTACCACCACCTTGCTCTCTCCCTTCTATCCATTCCCACCCACTCACACCCACCCACACCCACACCCCCACCACTCTTCCCAAACCCCATCCCCCGCCCTCTCCCCCCCTCTCTCCCTCCCCCTCTCCCCCCCTTCACCCTCCCCTCACCAGCCGCGCACAGCCCTGCAGCAGCTAACTGCAGCACGCAGGCAGCTACTGCGTGCCAAGGCCATGTGGGTGCAAGCACAGAGAGACGCGGGCAGGGCAGAGGAGCCAGCAGCAGCGGGCGTGATGATCACACACGGTGGAGGCATCGCAGACCGACGGCGAGAGGTCAGAGGGGAGTTGATGGGTGGAAGGGGAGCAGTGGGAGGGGCGGAGGAGGAGGAGTGGGTGGTAGAAGGGGAGACAGGGATCGGAGAGACGAGTGGAGGAGAAGAGCCGGAGGTGCTGGTGGGGACTAGGGGGGCGGTGGGACGCGCGGAACGGCTAGGGTGGTGGCCCAAGGGTTGGGTACGGCGGAGAGGCAGTGGTGGGGATGGGGAGGGGGAGGGGCGGGAGGGGCGGGAGGAGATGGGCGGAAGGGGGAGCATGGGGAGTGGTGGTGCTGGTGCTGCTGCTGGTGGTGGTTGTTGTGGGAAGAGAGGGAAGGGGAGGGGGGGAGAGGTGGAGAGGCCGCAGCACAGGACGGGATGGATGGGGCTGTGGGGGAAGAAGGTAGATTCGATTCGGTTTTATGAGGAAGTGGTGCGGTGTAAGGAGAAGGAGCTGAGGCGCGCACAGAGAGAGGCTTGGGCTGGGAGTACCAGCCGCTGTGTCTCTGCTGCTGCTGCTGCTGCTGCTGGTGCTGGTGCTGGTGCTGCTGCTGGTGCTGCTGGTGCTGCTGCTGCTGCTGGTGTTGGTGCAAGGGCAGCACCAATGTGGCAGACGCGACTGAGGAGAGGGAGCGAAGAGAACGAAGAGGAGCAGGAGGAGGAGACACAGGAAAGGCGGCTTGTGTGTGCTTTGGAAGGCGAGGAGGCACCACCGGGGGCATGTGAGGGAGGTGGGGGAGGTGGGGGAGGAGGGGGAGAAACTGGATATGCAGCAAGGGGTACTGTTGGCAGTTCTGGAAGAGCAGGGCTTACGGAAGGAACAGGCGGAACGAGGGGTTTGGAAGGCATTCAGGAGGAGGAAGGGGAGGAGGGTGAGGAGCAGGAGCGGGAGGAAGGGGGGAAAGGGGAGGAGGGAGAGGAGGAAGGGAAGGGAGAGGGGGACGATAGTCGCAGCAAGGGATCCCTAACCGGCCGTGTGGGGAGGATGGCAAAGCGGCCAGCAGCAAGAGCAGTGACGGCAGCAGCTGAGAAGCCGGTGGTGGGGGGCGTGGCGCGTGGGGTGCAGAGGATGGTGATGACGTCTGCGGGTGTTTGTTTGGTGACCGTGTCATGGCGGCAGTTGCTGCGCAGACTCTGCATGCTGACAATGCCATGCTCTGGCAGACCGAGCCGGTGCGTGTGGGGGGGGGAATGGGGGCAAAAGGCAGGTGGAAGGAGGGGAATGCGGGGAGAGTAAGTGGTGTGTGTGGGAGGGATGTGGGTGCTGCCGTGCAGAGATGCTATTATGTGCTGCCGTGCAGAGATGCTATTATGTGCTGCCGTGCAGAGATGCTATTATGTGCTGCCGTGCAGAGATGCTATTATGTGCTGCCGTGGTGGCTGCTCATTCCATGTGATATGCATAAACATCCCATGGCATCTCATGCCACCCCATCCCAACCCGACTCACGCCTCCCCCACAGGCCCCCGAGCCCAACGATGTGCTGTGGGACAGCATCAGCATCTCGCGTGTGTCGTGCGCCATCAGGACCGCTGTCGTCTACGTGCTCGTCTTCCTCACCATCTGCTTCTACATGGTTCTTCTCTTCCCCCCTTCACCCTTCTCTTTTTTTCTCCTTTGCTAAACCTTCTCCTTAGAAACTGCTGCTCGCTGGGATGTCTGCTTCTACATGGTTCTTCTCTTCACCCCTTCACGCGCTGAAAAGCCATCTCTTAGAGCTCTTCTAATTTCGCCTCTTCCACATGGTTCATTTCACCGCCTGGTCCTCGTCTTCCTCACCATCTGCTTTTAACATGGTGCCACTCAGTTCACCACCCTCTGACGCTTGGAAAACCCATACCGTCTCAGCTCACTGCTTCTCTTTGAGGCTTGAGAAAGAAGAGCTTCTCACTGCTTCTGCACGGTTCTCATCTCACCATCTAGACCCGCCACTCCACTTTCCCACGACTGCACTCACTCTCCCCCCCCCCCCCCTCCTTCCCTCTGTTCTCCGTTCACTCCCATGCCGCAGATCCCCATCGGCTTCATATCCAGCCTCACGACTCTGGAGAATCTGGAGAAGTCGCTGCCGTTCCTCAAGCCCATCGTGGAACAGTGCGTGCTCTCTGCTCTCATTTTAACTCGCACGCACGCACGCACGCACACACACACACACACACACACACTCTTATTCTCACGTGCCGTTCCGTACCATCCTTCCCTGCCCTTCCTTCCATTCCTACTCCTATCTCTTTCCCCGCTCTTCCTCGCGCTGCGCCCCAAGCTCTTACATTGTCACATTCCCCCCGCTCCCCTTCCCTCCCTCCTTCCCCGCCCCCCTTTCCCCCCTCCGTCCCCGCTCCTCCTCCCCCCTCTCTCCTCCCCCCAGGCCTGTCCTGCGCACGTCACGTTCATAGAGGCCTTTCTTCCGCAGCTCGCGCTCATCCTCTTCCTCGCGCTGCTCCCCAATCTGCTGCCCTCCTCAACTTCGCAGTAGTTGCTGTGCCTCATAAGCCCTCATACACACACATACACACCCTCACAAGCCATTTTCCCCCCCCATTTCCCCCCTCCCCCCCCTCCCTTCCCCGCTTTCCCCCCCTTCCCCCCCTCTTCCCCCAGGCCTGTCCTGCGCACGTTCATAGAGGCATTCCTTCCGCAACTCGCGCTCATCCTCTTCCTCGCGCTGCTCCCCAACCTCCTCCTCCTCCTCTCTCTTTTTGAAGGGCTGCCCTCGCGCTCCCACGCCATCCGGGCAGCCTCGGGAAAATATTTTTACTTCACCGTTCTGAACGTCTTCATCGGAACCACGCTCACGTCCGGCGTTTTCCAGGCGATCAAGCAGATCGTGGATCATCCGACGGCTGTGGTTGACTTGCTCGGATCGTCCCTCCCGCAAGCCGCGACGTTCTTTATCTCCTACATCTCGCTTAGGTTTCTCGTAGGAGCCGGGCTGGAGCTCACGCGGCTCGTCCCGCTCGCGCTTTTCCACGCGCGGCGCGCGCTGCTGTGCCGCACGCAGCCGGATCTGCACGACGCGTGGCAGCCGGGCGAGCCGGATTACGTCAGCTTACTCCCCGGGGATCTCCTAGTCGCGACGCTCGCGCTCTGCTACGCGGTGATTTCGCCGCTTATTCTCCCGTTCGCCGGCGCGTACTTTCTAACTCAGTGGCTCGTTATGAAGAACCAGCTCGTGCAGGTGTACGTTAACGAGTTCGAGAGCCGCGGGAGGATCTTTCCGCACGCGTTGGCGCGCGTTCTCGCGGCGCTCGTGCTGTCGCAGCTCACGCTGATTGGCTACTTCGGCGTGAAGCAGTTCCGCGCGACGCCCGCGCTCATCCCGCTGCTGTTCATCTCCGTGATTCACGCTGTCTACATGCACCGCCGCTTTCACCCGTCCTTCGCGCGGCCGTCGCTGCAGCAGGCGAGTCGCGCCGGCGCGCCGCCGGTGCCGCCTCCCCCGGAAGAGGATAAGATCAGGGAGGCGTATCTACCGGAGGAGATGCGGCGCGTGCAGAAGCAGAGGGAGTGGGAGGAGGAGGTGTGTCGTGTGCTGCCGGGGGAGCCTGTCATGGAGCGAGGGAGATTGCCACGTGGCAAGGAGGGATTCGGCAAGGACGAGGAAGATCTTAGCTGAAACGAGCGAAATGCAGATTTGGGATTTGGAACTTCAGACTTGGGATCCAGGCGAGGGTAAGGGAGGGTTGAGAGGGGTGCGTTGACGGATTCTGGGGGGGTCGGGTGGAGTGGGATGGGGTGGAGTGGGCTGGGGTGGCGTGAGGCGGGGTTGAAAGCAACGAGGTGTAGGATCTGTGCTGTTACAGTATTCATTTGAGCTTTGTTTTCCACACAAAACAATGGTACAGCAGGTGTAGCCTGTGACAAAATGTTTTGTGCCACAGCCTAGACAAGCAGCTAATCCAACGCGTCAGAGACAAGGATGGGTAAAAGAAATAACATGGGATACAAGTAATTCCTCCTAAACTAATTTTGGAACTTGATGTCAAATGATATATATGTGTGATATATATTGGTAGGCTGTAGTGGGGTAGATGTTATAGGGGATAACACTTTAGGGTTGTGTTTCTTGTACCAATCTCTCTCGTCAATGCAACCAACCTTGCCTAGCTATCTCGACACTTGATGCATGTGTCGGCTCCATTCCAGTCAATGAATCAGCTTTGCCTTTGACTTCCATATGTACACCTGTTACTACCACAGCTGCTGCTGCTGCTGCTCCCGCTTCTTCTGCCACTGGTGGTAATGCTTGTTATCCAGCTGATGACCCATCGCCGTATCACCTGCTACCGCTTGCTTTGGTCTCCCATCAAGAGCTGTTCCTGCCACATGAAACTCGTGCCAACTGTGATCCCACCATTGCACCCTAGACTCCTGTGTGGTGGGGTTCACTAATGTGCCGCACGCCGTTCACATCGTGCCCGTTCGGCTGCCCGTTCTGATGCCCGTTCGCACGACCGTTCAAATGCTCGCTCAAGTGATCATAGGCATGCCCGTTCGCATGCCCATAACCGGTCATGTACCCATGGTACTGCATATGATTCCCACCGCTCATCACACACTCTGGGGATGCGTACGCATGCATGTACACATGCCCGTTCACCTGCCCGTTCACATGCCCGTTAATGTGCCCATTCACATGCTCGACAGCACCAGCAGCAGCGGCGCCAGCAGCAGCACCGTGGCCCTGACCCTGAGAATTCTTCTGGCCACCACCATGATTCCCCTGCCCGCCATGCTCCTGCCCGTGATGCAGGTGCAGCTTCGTCAGCAGAAACAGGCACCCTGCAGCAAAGCAGACTCCCAGGGAGAAGCACAGAAAATCCATGGACGTGGCAACAACCACCTTCTTGCTCTTCTCGAACGTGCCCACAAGTAGAATCATCACGATCACGTGCCCGAGCTTCGTCTTCATTTCGTCCAGCGAGCTTACTTCCAGCCACGACGGCCGCGACTGCAGGCGGAACAGGCCGAACAGGTTCGAACCGAGGCTTCTGCGCGCTCCTTCCCCGCGCGCACGGCCCTTCGCGCGGTGCTGCCGCTGCTGCTGGTGTTGCTGCTGTTGTTGTTGCGCGTGGGTGGGGAGAGGAGCGTCCGCGGATGACGCTGACTTGCGGGTGTGGCTTGCGCCGTGTGCGGAGCGGTGTGCGCCGTCGTCGGAGGTCGCGGCCTCGACGTTGAAGTTATGGATGAAGAGGTCGTACAGGCCCATGCCGAATATCAGCATGACCGTTCCGATTAGGTACACGTCTGCGTAAAAGGCCATCGTAACGGAAAACAATAAAAAAAAAAAAACGCGGAAAGAGAGACCGTGGGAATAGTCAGAAGAACGAGGCGAGAAGAGGGGGAAATCGCGAAAAAAAAACAAAAGAACAGAGAAGAAAATAGAAGAAAAGAAAAGAAAAATAAAACGACGCAATAATTTCGGGAAATGATTTCGAGGGAGAAGGGGTGGAGGGAAAGAGGAGGCAGAGGCATCGCACCGACGGCTTCGACGAGCAAGAGGATGACGTTGCCTGACCCAATGCCCCACCAGGCCGTGGCGAACTCGACGAGCGATTCGAGCACGAAGAGACAGCCCTTGATGAAACAGATGGCGGAGCCCACGAGCGAGCCCACGACCGCGAGCAGCGTGAGGAAGCGGCAGTCGAAGATACGCTGCGGAGGAAATGGCGAGAGTAGGGATGATGGTTAGGACTCCGGTGGAATGTGATTGTGCATCGCGTGACGAAATTTACTGCTCATAGTATCGGCCGAGTTTTGTCAGGAACGGAACGGAACCGACGAGCGGAACCACCGAATGAGATTCCGTTTACGACTGCCCAGTCACTACCTAAATTTGCGACGGTAGTACTACTGGTGGACGACTTACTCGCTCCACCGAGTTTTCGACGTTCTCAATGGCCTGCGCTGCCTTGTTCTCTTCGTCCGATGACTCGTCCGACGTCACCGGAAACGCATCCGCACCGCCGCCGTCCGTGTCTCCCGCGTTGCCCGGCGTCCACGTCATTGCACCGTTCCGAGTAGTGCTGTACGCGAAGCTACGCAATGCGTCTGGTCTTCGTCGACGATTCATCTCGCGGCCGAGCCGCGCCATGCCGAGGAGAACTTCAGGCTTGACGGTTTGTTTTGTGGGCTCTGCTGATCGGGATGGAAATTCAACTGCCAGTTCCGCCGCCACGCGCTTCCCAGGAACAATTTGCTGGGACGAGCGATGCATAACTCCACAATGGACGGGAATTTGGCTCACGGACGGCGTGAGTGCGCTGACGCTGCTCAAAGGGAGGGCGGGGCAGCGCGGCGCGGATGCGGCTAGCACCGCTGCAGACGATGCGTGAAGCATGGTTGGTTGCTTTCTTCGATGTTGTCGCGATGGCAATGAGTTTCCAAAGGTAGAATCAAATCAATGAAGCTCGACAGATTAGGTGCTTATTAAACTCAGGCAAAAGAACGGTGACTTGCTTTTACGGTACAAGAAAGAGGAACAGAAGAGCTTTTGGTCGAGTTACTGGAGGTGAGGTGTGCTAGGGAAGAAAGGCAATGCGGCGAAGCGCATGTGTTGTGGTGAATGTGCAACCGAGGTGCACTGTGCGGTTCGGTGCGGCATGTGAAGAAAGGCCCCATCACCGCATTTTCCCGCGATAGGTTGTTGGGCTGGGTTGGTCAGTGAACAGAACAGACCTGAGACGAAGGGCGGGCAGACAATTTCGGGGTGCGCCCAGCCCACTGCCCACTGTCCTGCCCTTGGTTGGCGGCTGTGGAAAGTTGGGCCTTTGCTGACGCTGGTGAGCTCGTTCTTCGGGGAAAATTTTGCCGAGTTTCACTAGGATACGGTAGCACTTTGCTGGCTTGGCAAGGTAGTTTTGATTTCTATTTACAGCCTTCCGAATTGGTGGTGAAGATTTGTTTCCGTGTCCAGCCCGATTGTGTACACTATCGAAATAACCATAGCCGAGCAGCTCCATCCAGCGCTGCAGGGAATCAAGCCAAGCCAGTCTCACGCCACAAGAATCTCCTTGAATCTGTTGCGTTGGACTGGGCCTTGCGTGGCACACGTGGCAATGCAGTGGCGCAATTGACCTTCGACAGCCAATCAGCTTGCTTCAAATGTTTGCGATGGCTGTTCAAAAGATTTTGCTGAGCTGTTGTTGACTCGAACAACCGTCTCACCACACTTCACACCAAAATATAAACTGGAAATTTACGTTTGTTTTCCCGCATCTGTAGTGTAACATCTCAGAGTAACGAGGGAACTTACAAAAGGAATATTCTCTAGGGTTAATCGCGGTACGGTATAGTGTTTGCCTCTACAGGCAAAGCAGAACGTTGTATCCTTACTGCTGAACCCACACCAGGAACAGGCACAGAGCGACTAGTACGACTTCAACTGCAGTTTTCCGCGCCGCCATACCTAACTGGTGGTTTCGTTCCTATTGACTCGTTAGTTTTTCAAGCAGTACCTCTTTCCCGCATTGACACGCCATGGCGAAACGAGAGCTGTCAGGCCGTCTGCAACAAATGAAGGTGGGCATGCCGTCTCGAATCCCGAAAACTCCCACAAGTGCGAATGCCATGGCGGATGCGAACGCTCCTAGGAATACGAATGAAGCTCACGACGATGCGAACGGTCGTCATTGAGTAGCATGCAATGACGGAGACGCCCACGGCGATGATGTCGCGTATCAGATCGGACGGCTGCTGAAGATCTACATTTCTTCGAGTTTTCTCTAGGCCCGTTATAGTCGGCCTAGGGGCAGCGCAATGCATTGTCATTGTTATTCGTACTAAAAATGAAAAAAAAAAAAAAATCCAGAAATAAAAACCCCCCTTCCCCCAAACCCCCTTCCCCCAAACCCCCTTCCCCCAACCCCTTTCCCCCAAAATAATCGATCTCTACGCTTTCTTGCGTGCTTCCCGATCGCCGCACCCTCGTCTCTCTCTGGCAGTTCATGCAACGAGGCAAACCCAAAGACTCCACTGCGATGCCCGCTTCAGCGGCAGGTGGGGGTGCATCAGCAGGCGCAGCGGGAGCGGCGGTTTTCAGGGGAAACGTTCAAACGCACGCGGCGGCAGCCGCTGCCAACAAGGCGGCGGAGGAGGAGCGGTGGTTCGCGCCTGCTGCCGCCGCTGCTGCGCTGGGGGCGGGCCATGGGGGACAGCGCGTCACATGGTACGGGAGTGAAGGGAGGGAGAGAGAGGGAGTGAGGGGGAGAGGGGAGGACAGAGAGAGAGGGAGTGAGGGACACAAGGGCAGCGCGTTTCATGGTACGGGAGTGAAGGGAGGGAGAGAGAGGGGGTCGGGGAGAGAGAGGGCGAGGGGAAAGGGGGAGGGAGGTGGAGGGAGGAAGGGAACCAGGCAGGCAGGCAGGCAGGCAGGCAGGCAGGCAGGCAGGCAGGCAGGCAGGCAGGCAGGCAGGCAGGAAGAGACCGGGCTTATCAACCGAGTGCCTGCTTTTTAGGTCAACTCAGATCTCTTCTTTTTGCGCTCCCTCCCTGTTCATCCCGTCTTCCTCCACCCCTCTTCCCCCCCGCACCCACACTCTCCCCCCTCCTCCCCTTCTCCTCCCTCCTTCTCTCCCTCCCCGGTGCCGCCAGTCGAGTTGTGGTGCAGGGCCAGCCAGGCTCAGGGCGGCTTTTGGGACATCTGAAAGTTCCCAACTCCCCCGCACCTTTCCCTTCCACCTTCCCTCCACCTTCCCTCCCTCCTTCTCTCCCTCCTCGGTGCTGCCAGTCGAGTGGTGGTGGAGGGCCAGCCAGACCCAGGGCGGCTTTTGAAACGTCTCAAAAGTCCCACCCACCCCTCCACCTTCCCCCCCACCTTTCCGCCCCACCTTCCCCCCACCTTTCCCCCCCACCTTCTCCCCACCTTCCCCCCACCTTCTCCCCCCCCTTTTCTCCCCGGTGCCGCCAGTCGAGTTGTGGTGGAGGGTCAGCCGGACCCAGGGCGGCGCATGGGGCGCATGTCGTTCGGCAGCTTCAATAAGGACGTGGAGGTGCGCGCATGGGGAAGGGACGGGGAGGGGGAGGGAGGGGGACGGGGGGGGGGTTTGAATGGGTGGGGGGATTGAGGGCATGGGGCGCATGTCGTTCGGCAGCTTCAATAAGGACGTGGAGGTGCGCGCATGGGGAAGGGACGGGGAGGGGGAGGGAGGGGGACGGGGGGGGGGGGGTTTGAATGGGTGGTGGGATTGAGGGCATGGGGCGCATGTCGTTCGACAGCTTCAATAAGGACGTGGAGGTGCGCGCATGGGGAAGGGACGGGGAGGGGGAGGGAGGGGGACGGGGGGGGGGGGGTTTGAATGGGTGGGGGGATTGAGGGCATGGGGCGCATGTCGTTCGGCAGCTTCAGTAAGGACGTGGAGGTGCGCACATGGGGAAGGGACGGGGAGGGGGAGGGAGGGGGACGGGGGGGGGGGGGTTTGAATGGGTGGGGGGATTGAGGGCATGGGGCGCATGTCGTTCGGCAGCTTCAATAAGGACGTGGAGGTGCGCACATGGGGAAGGGACGGGGAGGGGGAGGGAGGGGGAGGGGGGGGGGGGGGTTTGAATGGGTGGGGGGATTGAGGGCATGGGGCGCATGTCGTTCGGCAGCTTCAATAAGGACGTGGAGGTGCGCACATGGGGAAGGGACGGGGAGGGGGAGGGAGGGGGATGGGGGGGGGGGTTTGAATGGGTGGGGGGATTGAGGGCATGGGGCGCATGTCGTTCGGCAGCTTCAATAAGGACGTGGAGGTGCGCGCATGGTGGGAGGGAGGGAGGGAGGGGGAGGGGGAGGTGGGAAGGTGTAGTGGAAAAAGTGGAGGGGGAGGGAAAGGGGTAAAGGGGGAGAGGGTGAAGGGAACACGGGAAAGGGGAGAGGGGAGGAGGATGGGGAGGGCAAAGGGGAGGGCATCGCGAGGGATGAAAGGGAAGAGAGAAGGGATGGGGGCGTCGGCTAGCAAAGAATTGCGCAGAGCAAAGGCACGGAAACCTGCAGTGCTGAAGAAGGGTGCCTAAATTCACAGCTTGAATTCGGCCGACAAGGCTTCCTACAAATCGACTGAATTTGGAGAGGCCTGGATGGTATCTGTCAAATTGTTTCTCACATCACATCGTATCCCTCTCCCTCCCCTCCCCACGCCTCTCCATCCCTGTTCTCTGCAAGCCCTCCTATTCTTCCATCTCCTTCATTCACCCAACTCTTCTCCTGCTCGCCTTGACACAGCATCCATTCACCACCCCTTTTGACTGCTCGCGTTGGCCCTTGACACGCCATGCACGTTCACCAGAGCATGGAAGAGGAGGCGCTGGGATCAGCAAGTGAGGCGCAGGAGAGGTCCCAATCGGAAGCAGCAGCGGCTGCAGCAGCCGTTGCGAGGGCGATGGACACAGGCGGAGCAAGGTACAGTGCACTGGCTGGCGAAAGTCTCGTGCTGCTCTTTGCTATTCTTTGCTCCCCTTTGCTAATTTTTGCTGTTCTTTGCTATTCTTTGCAGCTCTTTGCTAGATGCAGTTGCTTTCGCACGTGCCTTCTGACCTTGCTGTTCCTCGCCTTCCCCTTTCTGGCCTTGGCATTCCTGACCTTGGGTTGTCTGGCCGTGACTGTACTCCTGGCTTGGCTTTCACTCCCCACCGCAATAGGCCCTAAAGCTGCTCAAGTCGAAGCCTATAAAGCTGCTCACCGAAGGAAGTGGCAGTGGTAAAGCGGGTTTATCAGGAGGAGGCAGCGTGCCTTGGCAGTCCTGGCCTTGGGTTGTCTGGCCCTGAATCTAATTGTGCTCTTAGCTTTGCTTTCACTCCCCCGTCACAACAGGGCTCCCAAGTCGAAGCCTCTAAAGCTGCTCACTGATGGAAGTGGCAGTGGTAAAGCGGGCTCGTCAGGAGGAGGAAGGGGAGGAGAAGGAAAAGGTGGTGGTGGTGGAGGAGGAGGAGGAGGTGGAGGAGGAGGTGGAGGAGGTGGGTTTAATAAATCCTCACTGGCAGGAAACAAGCGACCTCGTGCTGCTAACGCTGCTGCTGCTGCTGCTGTGGCCGCGTGCTTTGAAGGTATTAGTGGTAGCGACACTGGCGGTGTTGGTGGTGGCAGTGCTGGTGTGAGTGTAAGTGGAGGAGTGGGTGGGGGGAGTGCGAGTGGAGGTGGGTTTTCCACCCCTCCAGTGGTTCCAAGCAGTGCAGCAGCTAAGCAGGAGAAGAGCCATGTGAAAGAGGGGTGGAGGAAACGCAGACCTGCAGGAAACACGGGGAACAGTTAGGAAGTAGCGCGCGTTGCGGTTTGGAATAAATGAAGAGTCTGCTGACTAAGTTACTACCGTAGGTAATGAATGGGGCAGCTAACTAACCACCATGTTGCGGCTTGTTACTGTATGTTCAGACCAGCCTCATTCAGTGCTGCTGCTGGTGATACTGCCGCTGGTCCGGTTTAAGGGATGGAAGCTCGTTAGATGTGTGGTCCGCTGAGCTGTGGTGGAGACGGTGTGGTGTGTTGCCAGAATGGTTCTAGCTACGGTGATTCTAGGCTGATCACTGGTGTTGGTGGCGGTGATTACCTCCTCTCCTCTGGGGTTTCAGCTTTTTGTACTGTATAATTCACTACTCTACAGTGTACCCCAGATCAGTTTCTACACAAACGTGCATATCAAACCATTTACCATGTATACCACGTTACAATATGAGATCTGTTTGGTGCTTACACGAACTCAGGCAACCTATAGAACAACCGCACTACAGTAATATCCAAAAGATGACTGTACAGCTTGGGTCAAGTAGTATACCGTATCAATATAGTATGCTACGTATTAGCATGTAGTAAGGTAAGTAATCCCATCCTCATCCATCAGCACTCTTTTTCCACTCCAAACTGCTTTGAGACGTCTCAAAACACCACTCCAAACTGCTCAATCAACCATTTCCCTGCACAGCACACAAGCAGCCCTGCCCACGCACATCCATACCACCTACCTCGTACATACCAAGTAACCCACACAACCCACTCAAACACCTCTCCTCTCTCAGTGCAGCAGACAGACCACCGAATCAGCTTGTTCTCACTGTACCGTACCTTCCCAGAAGCTGCTCGTAGCTGGCAGCACTGGTCGGGTAAGATACATGCCATGCTATTATGCCACACCATGCACGCACCAGCATGCTCCAACATGCTCCAACCTCCCGTTTCCCAACCCTCCCTCCCTCCGCACCCTCCTCCCACCCTCTCCACCGTTCTTTCAACCTGCAAACCATTCACTCCGTCCCAGAATTCAACCCTAACCTCCTCTCATACTTCTCAGACACGCCTCTCATACCCTCTGCACCAACCAGTACCAGCATTTCTAATCTTCCCCATCAATCCCTGTATCTCCTCCCCACTTCAGCATAGTCACCCCCCATAAGAGTCAACACCTCCTGCCACAAGTCCTCTCCCCTCCCCTCCTCCCCTGCCCTCTTCCCACCCCCTGCTGCCCGCCCAGCCGCCTTCAGCAACAAATCACTGCTGCAAGCCGCCACATACCACCACCCCTGCTCCACCTCTCTCATCAGCTGCTCCCCTCCCCATCCCGAATATCCCACCACAAACTGAAAATCCTCCGCTGCAGCTTTCCCAGTCTTAACCGCTCTTAGCGCCGTCTGCAGCCCCTGCAGGCCCCCTCCCACAAACGCTCCAGGGGCGATTTCCGTGTGTCCGCCCAATCCTGAAATCCCATGCACCAGCAGCACGCTTCGCCACCCGATTGGCCCGCCCAGGTGCACGCGGCACGGCCCGAACGTGCTCGACAGGCTCGGGTCCATCCCGTCCACCTCCTGCACTCTGCTTCGGTAGGGTTTGTTCAGGGCGATGCCGTATGGACCGTCCTCGATGCTGGTACCCACAGAGAGAAGCAGAATGACCGAGCGTTCAAAGAACTTGTAACCGTGTAACAGCTCAGATGCGACCAGTAGGCAGCCTTTCTCTGGCGCAAGCAGCGCGTGCGCCCATGTTTCCCCCACCTCCACCCCCTCCACCACCAGCGCGCCTTCCCCCAGACTCTCCCCCAGGCTCACTCCGCCGTCCCCCGGCCGCACGCGCACCTCCGCGCGCTCAGACGCGACCAGGCGCGCGCGGAACGTGCGCCAGTCCGTGGCGGAGAGAAGGGGCGCGGCGGAGTCGTCGGGGGAGGAGGGCGCGGGGGACGACGAGGAGGAAGGGGATGAGGAGGAGGAAGAGGAGGAGGAGGAGGAGGAAGAGGAAGAGGAGGTCGTCGCTAGAAGGAGGCGGGTCGCTGGAAGGCGAAGAGTCGTCTTCCCCCGCGTTGCTGCTAGACGGTTGGTCGGAGGACGAGGCGGATGCGCAGAGTGAGGGACGGCGGAGCGGATACGCGGGGGCCGCTAGGGGGCAAACGCGGCGGTGGCTGGCGGAAGGGGGGATGCGAGCTGCGACGCGGCGCAAGGAGGAGAACAGCGGGGGCGCGGAATGGAACGCGGAGGGTGTGCGGGGAGATGGGAAGATGGGAGGAGGGATTGAGCGGAGATTAAGAAGGGACCGCGACACAGGACGGAGGAAACCGACGAAGATTCGGAAGCGTCCAAGGAAGGGCATGGAGAGGGTGGGGAGCAGCGGGTGGTGGTGCGGAATGCGACAGAGGATGGAAGTGGTTGCAAGAACCCTGAATAAGCACTATTGGGACCTAGTGGGCCGTAGTGTTCAAGTCCGAACAGGCAGTTTCGAGTTTCATTATAAGCCATTAAAGAAGGCATAAACGCGTGGTTTCGTAGAAAGCAAAGGCAGATGCTTCTCCAGATGGAACAATACAAGCGTTTAAGAAAGCGGGATACACGCCCAGTTTCCGTCGCGCATGGAATGATATATCGGAAAATTGCCAGCGGCAAACGACTCGTGATGGGTTAGAACAAATAAATGGCTTAGAACAGTCCCGAAACGGAAAAGCGACGATACGGAGACATATAGCTGGAGCCCCACGGGTCAACTCGGCATCACCCCTTTCACATACCTCCAGTCATCGAAGGTTTGAATCCTACGCTCCATGCCACGCCATCACGCCCCGAGCCGCTCGAACCGCCATGGCAACCCCAGGCATCGTGCGAGCCGCAGCACTGAGCTCGGGTCCCGTCGCGTCGCCGTGAAACTGATCGGTGGTTGTAAGGCGCGGAGAGATGCCGCAGTTCAAGAGTGAAACATAATTGATCTGCGTTTCGGCATGAGAGATGTTGCGGTTGGATTTCGGATGCACGGCTGCTGAGGCGCGGCGAAGATTCGCCTGCGCTAGGTAGTTTGGTCACCGCGTGCTGACACGACAGCGCCATGAGACCAAAGATTAGAAAATTTCTCGACAGAGAGGCCAGAAACAAATCGTTGATGGAAAAAGAACGCAATAGCCGCTTTTGCTTCTACGGCCAAGAACAGGGCCGTGCAACCGAAGTTTAAGATTTCAAGGCGAGACGGCGGAGCACGATGGTGGGCCGACGTTGCCAGGCACGAGGGTGGGACATTTAGGGCGCGTGTGATCCGTGAAATTCGTGAAAGTTTACATTTTTTGGGCGAGTTGTGCGAAGTGAACATAAGTCGAATCAATCTCGACTTCCTTTGTATCGGGGTTCGCACATCTGGACCACAACACTGCAGAAAAGCACACACACATACAAGGTCGAGTGCGCGTATTCGAACTTGTAAAATCGCACCGAGCCGCATTTCTACAACGTAGGTTACCCGGTTCAGACGTCTTGACAGTGCGCCACGCGGCCGACGTGCGCTTCGGTTTCGGATAGCCTAGACCTCCAGCTCACCTTCAACACTGGGGTACAAATATCAGAGGTTGCCCACCTGGAGCTCTCGTCATTCCCCAAACATGACGATTCTCGCCACGTGGCCTCTATTCAGTACACGAAGGCTGTGGTGAGTTCGTTGTGCCACTGTTGCTACTCGTGAGTCGCTCGCACATTTCGCCCGATGACTGAACGTGCGGGAAATCACACACGTGAATGTGAACATGCCGAAGCACGTTCACAACTAAAACTCGAGTCTTGTTCAAGTTTGCAGTTCGCATGTTGCCAAACCCAAAGTTGACGAATTTTCGCTAATAGCTCCATGCGATATTGGCGAAACGGGTAACCACCCAAAGTTCGCACTTTATTTTGAACTTCAAAACCGACCTCACACGCCCTTAGGGCGAGAAATTCGAGAGAGAATTCCTGATACGAAAGCACGAATTTGATGGATTTTTCAGTCCGAGTGACGTGTGCTTGTGGGGAATGGTGAGGTGGGTGTTGGGTGGATGCAAGGGAGAGGAGGGGAGGGAGGGGAAGAGGTTGGTTTGGATGGAGGGATGGAGGAAGAGGAGTGTTGTGTGCGACCTGTGGCGGTTGTGTGTGCGACCTGGCTGATGGAGGTTGCAGGGCTGGGCGACATAGTGTGTGAGGACAACTGGCTCATTTGGCTACGGTATTACAGTCGCACGCAATGTTCCGCTGGCGTCAGCGTGGTGCGACAAGGATTTCGGCTCGGCGTGGGTAGCAAGCTTCTCGCAACAATTCGCTGCTTTTTCCCCATATTTCTCTCGTGAGCTATTGTAACCTGTCGGTCGACTGTAACCGTTTCGCTTGTACCGTAGGAAGTCTTGCGAGCAAGTCCCCTGGAAATCGCCATCCCGTGAGGGGAGAATTGCGGGTGTGTCCACGTGGGAGCATTCGATTCCGCAAGACGGTCGTTGATGCCCACGTGGATATGCTTAGGGTAAATGTAATTGGTTGTAGGGGCGTGCTAACAATTACCAATTTTGTTATGTCGCGTTAGACTGTATTGTACAGTGGCGCAAAGCCCATGCAGTGAAGTGCGCACTATTGCGGATAAGTACGTTCCTGGATCCGATGTGGAATCCCATACTGATGCGCTGGCTCTCCAATCTGAGGAAATTCTCGAAGGTGACGTGTACCTAGATCGATTTCAGACACATCCACACACGTCACACCGTATCGACCTAGAACGCCTTCTCGAGCAACGAGTAGCCAGCATGTGGCATGTGTGGCCACGTGGTTGGTGAACTTCCCAGCTCAGCCTCAGCGACCCGAATGTCACCATTGCCTGCCCACCAGTCTTCCCCATTGAATTGGGTGGATTCGTTCCTTCCCCCTCGCCCAGCCACTCGCTACCGTTTCCCAGAACTATATATCACACGGAACCACGTTTCGCCGCTGGTTATCCCGAACTTGTGTTCCTTGCGGCCCCCCAGCAACCTCCCTTGGTTGTCTTGCTGTCTAGTGTCCACCCCCCTCCCCTCTCCACCCCTTTCCCCCCCCCCGCTCCCTCCCCAGCCCCGGCCCAACCGTCCACCCAGAGCAGATTTCGCGCATGTATTTCACCCAACCAGCTTTTCCAATTCACGCATTCTTGGCATTTCTTTACGAATTTCGATTTCTTGGCGCACATCTCGCGTGCATCCCATCAGGTCCAAGTTACGCTAGCTAACTTCCCTTGCCAGACTATGGCACACGCTATTTCAGCCACGCAGCAGCTTGCTGCGCCTTCGGCTGCGTGCTTCGCCTCCGCATCCCACGCGTCTTCACGAGGTCAATTTCTCGGTGCCCCACTCTCGCGCCCATGGAAGAAGTTCCAGTCCGTCGCCGCTGATTCTCCTGCGACCGTCACGGTCAGTCGCCAGAGCGTCGTGTGCACCATCGCGCAGCAAGCCAGCGCGGCCTCCGATGCCGACGTCCCATCGAACGGAGTGCAGAAAGGATGGTCGTACGCGGCGTACGGGTCGCGTGATAACATCACGTTTGGAGACGTTCCTGTGCCCGAGCTCAAGCCCAACCAGGTGCGTTGTCGAATCCGGTTAATGCCGAGCAAGTAAGCTGCTGGAACCAATACCATTTACAGCATAGAAAACTGACGAGAATCCGGAATTTCCGTCGCCTTACCCTCTTGTGATGTACTCTATAACGACACGTCTGTGTTATTGCCGTTTCATGCGTCCTTTCAGGTGTTGGTTCGCGTAGCTGCTGGAGCTCTGAACCCTGTCGACTTCAAGAGACGCGAGGGCAAGTTCCCCGCTAAGGACTCCCCTTTCCCGGTACGTGCGCCTCTCTCTCATCCCGCCCGCTTGACCGGATTTTAAGCATCTCAGATGCGTCTAACTTTCTCACGCTTGTCGTGTTATTCTGCCCGTGTTCCCATCCCACTTGTTTTATCTGATTTTTCTTTACGAATTGCACAATCCGCTGGTTCACAATCACTTATCATCAACTTCAACATGGTTTACATTAATCCCGTCCCATCTGTCGGCGTCGCCCTTCGTGTGCTCGTGCTGGTCGCAGACTGTTCCCGGGTACGACGTGGCGGGCACGGTGGTGCGCGTGGGCAGCGACGTCAAGTCGCTCAAGCCCGGCGACGAGGTGTACGGCGACATCAACGAGGCCGCGCTCGAAAAGTACGTCTCGCTACTCACGTTAATCCACGTTCATTTACGTTTATCCACGTTCGCTCACGTTCATCCACGTTTGAGCAATCCCGTAGATCCTCTGCCAGCATTACATTCCCGTCCGAAGTTTATGTATCATCCTTCTTGCTCTCCAGACACCTCATTCAAGCAACACATTCGGTACATTCTTTAATTCTCCGACCCTCTCTCTTGTCTTCCTCCCAACCATTTTCAGCTCGCGTCTCCCTCCCCCTCCCCTTGCCACTCGCCTCCCCGCGTCTCATCTCCCTTTCTATTTCCGTCTCTTTCACTCGCCTTGCCCCTCTTTCCAGTCTGAAGCAGGTTGGGTCTCTAGCGCAGTTCACCGCAGTGGAGGAGCATCTCTTGGCTCTCAAGCCCGCCAATCTCTCCTTCCTCGAGGCTGCGGGTGGGTTTACGAGAATCTGAAAGTAGTGTTCTCTGCCTTTCCTATGCCTGTTTGCCGCTGCAATGAGAGACATTGCCGCGCTGGCGCTGGCTCTTTAACGCGCTTGCTCATTTCGTCACTTCTTTGCAGAATACCCGCTCAGACCTTCGTTGCTCCCGCTCAATTTTATGCTACTTCCGTCGTTGCCACCGCAGGCATCCCGCTGGCGGCACTCACGGCGACAGAGGCGCTTGAACGCGCGGGCTTAAAGAAGGGACAGTCGGTGCTGATTCTGAATGGCGCCGGTGGCGTCGGCACTTTTGCCATCCAGGTTAGTGGGTGTAACCTTCCTCCTCCAAGTATTTTGGAGGCGTATGGATGGACATGGCAAGGCAATGTGTAGGAACACCGAAGCACACATGACGTGCCTACATGTTCTCCATCCGAGCAGCCGCTGACGAACATTAGCTTATCATAATGTTCCGTGCTAAATCACGTTTTCCGTCTCTTTTCAATCGCGTCCTGCGTCCACTTGTGTCACATGTTACAGATCGCGAAGCAAGTGTTTGGAGCGGGCTTCGTGGGCACCACCGCCAGCCTTCCCAAGACGGGTCTTCTGGAAGGTCTCGGTGCGGATTTGGTTTTGGACTATAGGTCAGACTTCACGACGCTGCCGCAGCTCTACGATGTCGTGTTTGACTGTATCGGGGATAGCGAGCGCGGGGCGAAGGTGGTGAAGCCTGGCGGAAAGGTCATTTGCATCGCGGGGAACCCCTCTCCGCCTGCGGAGCGGTTTGTGGTAACCTCGAGTGGCGAGAAGCTTGCGAAGCTGACTCCGTTCTTCGAGAGTGGGAAGATTCGAACCGTGCTAGACCCCAAGGGCCCATTCAAGTGGAAGGATGTGGTTTCTGCATTTGAGCACCTGGAGTCAGGTCGGGCAACTGGAAAGGTTGTGATTGGACCTGTTGCTTGAGCCGGAGTTGATTTTATGGGTAGCGCAGTGACAGAAGGCTTGGTATTTTGGATGGATTAAGGATGATTTATGCTTTCACTGCAGCAGTTTCCCTATTTGTGTTGTTTTTTTTCTCTCCATGAAGCTTGTGGTTGATTAACCACTGCCGTGGGTTAATAAAAAATTATACCGGTACTTCATTCCTATCAATGCGAAACACCGATATATTACGACGTGTTGCGACCCACCCGGGTCGGGTCGGGTCGACCCGGTCGACCAGGGTTGACCCGACCCGACCCAACCCAAAGGCAACTCGAGAATCAAAGAATTTCCAGATACAAGCGACATTTGCGCGAGAACCACAGATTTTGCAAAATCCGGTAACCTGCTTCAGCTCGGCTGGGTTGGGTTTGGTCGGCCTGGTCAAACCGACCTGGTCGACCCGGGTTGACCGTGGTCGACCCAACCCGGGTTGGGTTGGGTCGGGTCGACCTGGTCGGGTAGGTCGGCAGTGCGGGCTTCCTAGAAATTCGGGATCGGGGGGTGGTCGACCCGACCCGGGTGGGTCGCAACACGTAGTTAGTACAGTATAATTTGCCTTGCATAGTAATGGCTGGGGTAAGCATGATACATGGCTCACTGATGCGGGTGAGATACCAGTTGTGGCATACGCACAGTTGTCAAGCACTACTGCAGGACTTGGGGGGTCAGCTCTGAAAAACTCGATAAGGCATGCTCCTTCAATAGATAATAATATGAATTTGGTTTCCTTATACACTTACATATTTTCACTCAGCCAATGCCGACTCGGAAGCGACTCGAGCCGTCAGTTCAAGTGCAGTGTACAGCGCGTTCCGCTGCCGCTCCCCTGGGCTGGGCAGTGGGTGGGCATTTTACTTGAATTGCGACAGTTCCTTGCGACGCGTACGATCATGTGACTTGGATCTGGCACTTACGATCCCTGTCGCGCGTCGCACACTCATAGCACGTCGCGTGTGATTGCATCGCAGCACCTTGGCGTGAAGTGACGACCGCGTGCGATGGCCTTCATTTGTACCTAAGCGCACACCGGCTCGCATCGCATCGTATCGCAACGCCGTGTGGCACGGGCGTTTTGGGGTTGGGCTTATTTGGAAAGGCGAGTGGTATACTCCATCGGACGGTTGAGATGGAATGGACGGAACGCCATAATGTGAATTGCGCCCCACCGCTTCACTTCCCCCTCTCCTCGGCACTCCTTCATTTTCCACCCACCCAGCTCCTCTCACACTCTTCCCTTGCCTCGTCACCACAGCAACTTCACCACAGCAACCAGCGCAACCAGCGCAACCAGCGCAAAAGCCGCCTTTACCCTACCGCATTAGTTTCTGGCAGCATCGTCATCGCGGTCAACCTGTAGTTGGCCAGCTTGACCAACTGTTCCCGACTTCGGTACTCGCTCACGTTTTTCAAATCACTAATGTGGTTGTGTGCTGTCGTTCAGAGTAGCAAGGCAATCCAGCATTAGCCATGCGATGCGATAACCTCCTGCTCTGTAACCCGCCCAGGTTAGGTTAGGTGCTACTCACAAACGGCCACTGAAATCAAGAGAGCATCGATAAGGATCTCAGGAAACGGCTTCGGTATGAGTTACTCAAACGTTGTACCACTCGTTGTAACATCGTTCCTAGCGTTTCCCGGTTCTGATCGACAACGTCACTAGCAGATTGTGAACCAGGCTACCTGTACCTCGGGATCCGTCCCGTCACCGCTACCTGCCTCCGCTTGAAGCGTGTCCATTAGTCATTCGAAGCAGACTGTCGCTTCGGTCGCTCCTGCCCTTGCTTCCACAGTGCATTCAACATCGACGATCAGTTCCGCGCGGAATTCCGAGTCGCAGCAGATATCGCCTCGCAAAGCCTGCATGCTACTACTAGTAGTAGCGTCTCTCAAGTCGCCCACTGAGATCGCTCGCCGATATTTTGCTTTAGCGGCGCCTTAAAAGCCACCTTCTTTAGTAGTTGCCTTACCGCCTAGGATCGCCCACAACGCAAAGCAGCAGCAATAGCAGCGCGGAGCAGCAGCGGATCAGCAGCGGAGCAGCAGCGGAGCAGCGGGGCAGTTACGATGCCGACGGTGACCTTCCAAGTAGCGGCGGAGGAGTCGCTTGGATCAGCTTCTCTCTACCTGACAGCATTGCCCGCCGCTGGTATCGCCAGTCGCAGCAGCAGCAGCAGCAGCAGCGCCGTCAGTTCCGACGGCCGCGCGGGAGCCGACGGCGTTGATGTGCGAGGCGTGTTCGACAGCGTCGCAATGGTGTCGCTCGTGGGAATCGTGCGACAGCTCGCGCAGCTATCCGAGTGAGTCCGTTTTCATTAAGAAAAGGAGAAAAAGAAAAGGAAAGAAAAGAAACGAAACGAAACGAGAATAAGAATCAATAACCAGAGTCAAACGCACCAGTTCGTGAGAGTTAAAACCCGAAACCAAAGGCCTTGGCATCGAGTTTTAATCAATTCGTGGCGAGTAACAGTGAGGCGCTGCTACCTTCCGAGCGACCATTCTCGTCGCCAAGAAATTTATGTCCAATCAACGCCGTGTTGTGCCATTCTCGGAGCCTCCCGCCCAATCTTTCCCGCTTCCGCTGCCCCAATTTCCCGCCTCCTCGGTCCCCCGTTCCCCTTCAGCCACACCGCGGCGGTGTTCGAAAGCCTGTCGGCGGAAGTGGCGGACGTGGGGCGGCGGCGCGCGGCCATTGTGGCGCGCGTGGCGGAGGTTGAAGCGCGGTTGTCGCGGATTGAGCTGCGCACGCTGCGGGACACGCAGCCTGTGCGGCTCGTGTACGCGCCAGGTGGGGAAACCCGCGGAGAATCCGGAATGCTGGGACGAGAGTCGGGAAAAATAGAGGGGGTGCTAGAAGTTGGGGTGTGGCGGGGGGGTGGGTGCGGTGGGGAACGAGTGATGGGGATTGCTGGGGCGGAAAGGCTTTGGGGGATTACCGTTGGGCTTCACTTCACAATTGCATCATTCGTGGAACAAGAGGTTTCAGGTCGCATGTTTTACTGTACTGCGACCCTGCGATGAATTCAACATGACATTCGGAGCTCCCAAGAATATATGTTTGTTTTGCCTCGGTGATTTCTCTGCTCTTGTGCCCAACCAGCAGGGTCCTCGTGGAGGTTCGGTGACGTCACACACGGGCACGGGCACGGGCAAGGGCACGGGCACGGGCACGGGCACGGGAATAGGCATGGGGATGATAGGGGCATCTTTCAGCCTTGCACGCGGCCGGCGTTTCTCCAATGGCAGTACGCGCAAGCGCGCCCGCAGCATGCGGTGGGGCATGCTGCATTGCCTGGCTATGACTGCAGATCTTTAAACGGAGGTGATACTCCCTGCACACATGCACATGCACATGCACATGCATGCACCGCTGGAGCGTATGAGGAGCAGCGGAGATCACCCCTGGGAAAACCGGCCCAAGGGACTCCAGCCGATGTGAAACCACTCGAAAGAAACGCAGTGCGAAAGGTGGCTGAGTCAGCACTGGAGGAAGAGGAGAATGGAGCACCTATGGCAGGTGTGACAGAAGGGAGCAGCGCAGAGAATGACAGGAGAGACGACTTGAGAGGAGGGACCGGAAAGGCCAGGGGAGCGACAGGTGGTAAAGAAGGGGATGGGGAGGAGGAGGGAGCGGACGTAGCGAGTAACCACGGCGGGCTGGCGCCTACCCCTCATGAGCCTGCTCTAGTTGAGCCTTCCCCACATAAGCCTCCTGTGCATGAGCCTGCTGCACACGAGCCTGCCGCGCAGGAGCTTTCCTCACATGTGCCTTCCCCACATACGCCTGCCGCGCATGAGCCTACGCCGTATGCATATGCGCAGGGCGAGGGTGAAGAGTGGGGGGCTGACGATAGTGGGGCGAGGAAAGAGGGTAACCCGGTGGTGCTAGGAGGAGAAGTAGCATTGGACTGTGAGTCGCCTCAGAACTTGATGATTTTTGAGGCGCCTCAAAAGTCGGTGCTAGGAGGAGAAGCAGTATTGGGTTGTGAGACGCCTCAGAGCTTGATGGTGGGAAGAGGAGCGGCGTTGGGGACTGCAGTGGGGGAAATGGTGGTGCCGGTGGTGAGGGAGGAAAGAGAGGGCGATGGAGGGGAGGAAGGTGGGGAGGTGGGAGAGGGTGGGAAGGAAGTGAAGGAAAAGGAGGAGTGGGTGGGGCAGCAGGAGCGGCATTTTCTGGAAGAGGAAGAAGAAGGTAGTGCTTCAACGCAGAGGGATGATGTTTCAAGTACGGATCTCATGGTGGAGAACGGTTCTGTGGGATGTGAGGGAACGAGGGACGAGGATATGAGTTTGTACACAGGAGATGCAGGAGAGGGGTGGGACGAGGAAGCGAGGGATGAGCAGGAGAATCAGGAAACGGGAGGTGAAGGCGAGGGGAGCGACGGGGAAACGAGCGACGAGGAGATGAGCGGGGAAATGGGAGATGCGGGAGAGAGGAGCTACAAGGAGGTGCGAGATGGAGAGGAGATGGTGCTGATTGGGGGTGGAGGAGGGTTGTTGGGTGGGAGCTTCGGCGAGTGGCAGTATGGGGATGGGGAGGTGGAAGGCGGGAGGACACAGAGGGTCCTCGCCGCCGTTGTTCTCACGTGTGGCTTGCTCGTGGATGGTGATGCTGATGATGGGGATAATGGGGATAATGGCATTATGTATGGCTCCAGAGACAACTGTTACACCGATCATAACGCTGGGAAGGAGGGGCAGGTTGATCAAGCTGGGGAGTTGAGGCAAGTAGAGGAGGAGCAGGTGCTGTTGACCTGTCCACGGCATTCACAAGCTCTCCAGCAGGGAGTGGAAGAGAAGGACTCTGGGGCACCGAACTTCGCTGCTGCTGCTGCTGTTGCTATTTCAGCTGACTTCTCTCCTGCTGCCGCTGCCGCTGCCGCTGCTGCTGCTGCTGGTGCTGCTGGTGGTGGTGGTGCTGCTTGTTTGGGAAGTGCTGCTGATGCCGGCAAGTCAAGTGCTGCTGCGGCAGGAGGGAGCCTCATGAGGCGTCTGCATGGTCACAAGCTGAGGCAGTTAAAGCCCTGGTTACGTCCGGACAAGCTCCCTCTGCTCTCCCCTTCCAGCCCGCTCTCCCCACAGGCAGATGAAGGCTGCATCAGCCCACCTCCCCTTGCTCTGGTACGTGCGTCTCCTCACACTTACTCACCCTCCTCCAGTGGCTCGAAAAACTTGTTCACCACCGCTGCTCACTTGTTTACTTGGGCAAATTTTTGAAAAAAAAAAAAAAAAAAAACTTTCTCCATTTCTCTCCTGTTTTTTCTGTACTGTGTTCTTTCAAACTCCTTTCTTGCAGCCATTGCAGGCAGTGGAGGAAGAGCCTGTGCATGTACCTACTTGCAGCCGTAGCGGCAGAACCCATGCGGGTGGTGCAGGGGTGGTGACAGGCATCACCATGTTCAGACTGCTTGCCAAGGGCATGGGTGTTTTCACTCCGCGCCAAGATTGGACCGTAACTGGGGGGGCCAAGGCGCCAAAGGTGCATTGAGCAGGCTTTAGGGTTTGGAGGAATCGGTCTTTAGACTTTATTTATTATCTTTGTTGGGCTAAGATAGCCCCTTAGGATCTTTTCAGGGGAGAACTCTGGGTAGGACAATTGTAATAGCGGAAGCTTTTGATGAAGTAATTGTGAACCACCTTGCGCTAGTATGTGAGGGCAAAGTAGATTAATTATAACAGGAAAGTACAAGAATATATAGTGGTGTAAGGAATATCAAAGGATACGGTTATAACTACTTTTACTGTTGCTGTTGCGGTTCGATACAGTACGACTCGGGCAACTGCTCTGTAACGAGTCAGTTGTATGTCCTTAACTGTCGCGCTGTACTTGTCGGGTCAAAGGTCAGCGACCTTTGACCTTCGCGTAACCTCCAGCAACCTCTTCAACCCCCGAGGGTTGACTCGCGGGTGCTTCGGTGTAGTTTGCCTCGCTTCTGATGCGGTGTTTTCGACACGACTGAAGCGCTTAGGTCTTATTGTTTCCAACACTCCCCTTCGCTTCTGGAGTGTCGCTGCTGGTGACGTGGCTCTGTCCAGTCAGCAGCATGCAATACTCGAACTTTTGCTTTCCGAGTTTCTTGGTCAAGTAGTCAGCTGCCATCTCGGATGTGGGGCAGTATGACAGCTCGAGTCTCCCCTTCTCGATCTCGTCCTTCACGAAGAAGTAACGTAGGGCAATATGTTTCGTCCTGTTCGCGAAGCCGTTCTTGTTGGCGATGCGAATTGCTGACTGGTTGTCGCAGAACACGTTAAAGTTGGGTAACTCGGCTAACTTCGCTTCTTCCAGTAGCTCGCGAAGATAGAGTCCTTCTTTGGTGGCTGAGCAGAGTGCGATATATTCTGCTTCAGCTGAAGATAGCGCGATTAACTCCTGCTTGCTTGACTGCCAGGAGATAGGACCGATAGGCTCGAGGCGGTAGACGTAGCCGGTGCGTGAGCGTCTGTTGTCAGTGTCGCCGGCGTGATCGGCATCGACGTAGCCGATTAGCTTGGTTGGTGTAGCTGCGTTCTTGTGATAAGTTAAGCCGATCATTGCGGTGCTGATAAAGTAGTGCAGAGCGCGGTCAAGTTCCGCCAGGTGTTCTGCTTCAGGCTTCTTGAGATAAGTGGCGAGCTGGCTTGCGGAGTAGGATAGGTCGGGTCGGCAAGTGACGGCTGCGAAGAGAAGGCAACCTAGCTTCCTCTGATAGTTGCGTATGCCGGCGGATTTAAGTGGGGTAGATTCCTTATCGGCTCCTGTCGTGTAGCGGTATGGTGTTGAAATCGCGGCTGGCGTAATTCCGAATCGTTTGGCGATGGCGTCGGCGTACTTTTCGGCGCTGAGGTAGATCGCGTCGTTATCTTCTCGAATGTTAAGTCCGAGATACTGTGTGACGGTAGATGAGACAGTGAGGGTGAGGTCCCTCTGCAGCTCCCCTTCGAACCAGGTGGTGATGCTGTCGGTAGAGCCGATGTAGAGAAGATCGTCCACGTAGACAATTAGCAAGATGTAGTCGCTGTTCTTCGTGAGGCGGTACATGCCCTGATCGTGCGGGAGTTGTTTGAAGCCGATGCGGATGAGACGAGTATGCAGGTACTGCTGCCACAGTCGCGGTGCCTGCTTGATCCCGTAAAGCGATTTTAGTAGCTGGCAGACGTGCGTGGAATTTGTGTTGGAGCCGTGCGGTAGTTCCACGAAAATCTCTGCATCGACCGGTGCGTAGAGAAAAGCGTTTGCGACGTCGATTTGGCGCAGTTTCTTTTTCTTCATAGCGGCGATGGCGAGAAGAATTCGAAGTGAAGTGTGGCGGCTGACCGGAGCGAAGGTTTCGGTGAAGTCTCGTCCATGTTCCTGGTCAAAGCCGCGAACGACCCATCGTGCTTTAAACTTGTCGATGGTGCCGTCGGCCTTCGTCTTCACACGGAAGACCCATTTCCCGGTAAGAATGGTCTTGTTTCGCGCTACACCGATGGGAACGACTTTCCAGGTGTTGCGTTCCTCTAATGCCTTCAGCTCCTTGTCCATGGCTTCGCGCCATTTTTCCTTATGCTCCCCCCCCAGAGCCTGCTGAACTGTCGCAGGCTCCTTAGGAATGTTGACGCCGTGGACCGCGGTGACGAGACCAAGGATTTGGAGTCCGCTCTGTGTGTAGCGGGGGAGTGTGGTGTCCTCGGGATAGACTGCTTCGTCTCCAGTTTCTGGATCGGGTGCGAAGTTGGGCCCTATGCGTTCTGCTTCGTTGGTGTTGACTTCAGCAGGTGTAACGTAACCGTTGTCGGCGAAGTGGTAGTAAGTTTCGGCGTTGACGCTTTCGCGAGGGTTTTCTTCGTCCATCGGTACGTCCACTGAGCAGTAGGGAAGAGGTCCGGCTTCTTCCGAGGCTCCTTCCACATTCTGCTCGTCCCAGTCAGCTTCGTCTTCTGCCGAAGCGAAGGCTCGATCGCCACGGAAGCCGCCTGTGGGGTCTCGATTTTCGTCCAGGTTGGCAAGGTACGTTGGCAGTGTGAGTCGTTCGTAGAAAATCACGTCACGTGCTGCTACTGTTTCTTTGCTGTTGATATCGAAGATCTTCCATGCGTTGTAATGTTTTTCGATGCCCAGGTGTAGTCCCCACTGTGCGCGTTGGGAGAATCGGCCGGCTCGTGCAGATGGGGGTCGGTACTGTACCATGCAGCCGAAGACTCGTAACATTTTTGTGCTGCCCAGTTTTCCTGTCCACAGCAGATGCGGTGATGTGTTGTTCGGGAGTGACGACGAAGAAAGCAAGTTGTGCAGCATCACGGCGTGGTCCATTGCTTCGGGCCACTGGTGGTTGGGTAGCCGCATGCCACGTAACAGTTTGCGCATGGTGTTCTGCAGAGTCCTGTTCATCCTTTCTGCTACACCCTGCTGTTGATGGGCGTAGGGAAGGGAGATGAGTCTCTTGATTCCCTTCTCCGCCAGGTACTGCTTGAATCGCTGTGACGAGTATTCTCCTCCTCCGTCTGATTGGAAGCTTTTGAGTTTAGCTCCCGATTCCCGTTCTGCTGCTGGAAGCCATGCCACGAAAGCCTCGAAAGCCATGTCGCGACTTGGTAAGTTTAGGTGCCAGACGTAGCGTGTAGCGGCGTCGATGAAGGTGATGGTGTAGTTATACGCGTTTTGTCCGGGTTCGCGGTTGTACAAGATGTCGCTGTATACTTTCTCGAGTGGTGCATATGCAGGTGCGCTTGGGTTGTGATGCGAAACGAAGGGCTGATGCGGTAAGTCAGCTTCGGGGCAGGTGAAGCATGTTCCTCGAGCTCGCTGAAGTTCTCTGCCGTCTGTTAAAAGCAGAGAGTCCTTGTCGAGTACTCCTGCTCGAATTGTGTTGTTTAACACAGTGTTGCTTGGGTGTCCCATTCTTGCGTGCCAGATTTCTTCGTTGGCGCGATGACCGGGTGAGCGCTGATACATGTCGGAGTTGGAGTAGAGACCGGTGGTGAAGTTGGGACTGTGATGAAATTCTCGTGGTGCTGGCTGAAGCTGTTGTGCAGGTGTTGGTGGTGCATCGTCGTTGAAGAGCGCCGTCGTTGAAGGACCGGCGACTGGTGTCGTCGTTGTCGCTGTTGCTGTTGTTGTCTCTGCTGCTGCCGACGTTGTCTCTGCTGCTGCCGATTGTTGAATCGCTGCTAATGCTCTTGTTCTCTCTGTTTCAGGAATGGTATGTGAATACCAGAAGCCGCCTGGACTGAAGTCGGGGTCAAGATCCGGAGGGTGTGTCCAGTTGGTAAAGTTGACTATGGCGTCACTGTCAGCGGTGCCGAGATCAGGAACGAAGTCCAAGACGAAGACGTTGTTTTTAAGGATTGCCTTCCCGATGTAAAGACCTCCTCTCCCGTGGTACAGCTTGAATTCTTGGGTAGTGCTGTCTGCTTCGAGGTGGATGCCTTTCGCCATCAACTGACTCACACTGAGAAGGTTGTATCCGAGGCCTTCTGCGATTAAAACTTTGGACATTTGCAGAATGACGTTTGTCTCCCGTGACTGAAGTTGTACAATTCCTTGTCGTCGTGTGTACAGGTTTTGATTATTGGCGACGGTGATGACGACCTCTCGTTGAAGCTGATACTCTCTCTGCACGAAGCGTCCCGAAGAACACATGTGTTGTCCGCAGCAACTGTCCAAGAACCACGTGTCTTTTCCGGATGGCTCGTTTTGGGCGATGGCAGCGTATGTCGGATTTGGTTGAAGTGCTTCGCGACGAGGTGTGGTGTTGTCGAGTTGTTCTTCCGGTGAGTAATGAGGTGGTGAATCCATGACGCAAGAGTCACTTAGTCTTGCCATGCAGCTAACGATGTTTCTTGCTCCTTGCGCAGGTTGTCCCGTTGAGGTTGTTGAAGCTTGGATCTGGGTCGTTGGATTTGCTTGCGTTGACGCAATTTGACTGCTTGAAGGTCGAAGGTGTCGTTGCGGGGTCGTTGACTGTTGACGATTCGGGCAGTGCGTGCGCGGGTGCCCTGAAGTCTTGCAGATGTGACAGAAGGGAGGTACTGGCTTCGGCTGTTGTTGTCTGTTGCTGTAGTTGTTGTGTCGTCGTTGGGTGTGAAATGCGAACTCTGACGTTGTCGTCTTCTTCCTGTGTCGTTCTTCTTGCAGATCCATGTCCTGCTGTTCGGCGTGGATTTCGGCGCAGAGTGCTGCCTCAGAAATTCGTCCGTGGGCTCGGAGGATGGCCTTTGTTGCGCGCCACTGAGGGCCGAGGCCACCGATGATGACCGTCACGAAGGCGTCCTCAGAGATTGATCCTCCACATCGAAGAAGCTTGTCGCGCAGTTCGCGACATCGACTGATATATGCCATTCCTTTCTCTCCTGGTTTCATCTCAACTGTTGTCAGCTGCGCCATTAACCTGCTCTGGTTTACACTGTCTGTTGCTTGATACAGGCTCTTCAGATGGTTGTACGCGAGCTCCGCCGAGTTGCCGAAGGCCCGGTAGGACCGAATGTTCTGCTGTTGGGTTGGTGTTAAGTTCCTCAGTAGGATCGTATACGCCATCATCGATTGATATGTGTACTGCTGCTTCTCATACTGTGTGCCGTTTGCTGGATATTGCAGGGACCCGTCGAAGAAGCCAAGTATCTGCGCGCCCTCCATCATCAACTCGAACTCAAAGGACCAGGTGAAGAAGTCCTTTCCGTCGAATGGTCTTGACGTCTGAAGCTTCAAAACGTGTGCGAATTGCGACTGTACTTGTAACGCGTCCAGTGATTTGTCTTGTGCAGGCGAAGACTGCGGCATGAAGCTGATTGACCCGCGTTCGTACGGGGCGAAGGTAGGTTGCTGCTGTTGATTTCCGCGCGCGTATGACGACCCATCAAGGCTCATGGGCGTCACTCCGTTGTTGCTGTTGTGTGTCTGTGCAGGTCCCGACTGCTGGTGCTGCTCGTAGAAGGACATGAAGGAGAAAAACTTCTCCATCATGCTCTGGTCAAAGCCCGTGGGGCGATTTGTGAGAGTCTCGGTGGACGTTCCCCTAGGTCTTGTTGCTGTGCCTTCCTCTGTCTGCAGGCCAGAGGCAGGAGGTGGTGTAGGAGTAGTCCCCGGGGAGCCATTAGAAGAGCTCCTCTCCTTGTTTGTTGCCATGTCTTGTAATGTCTTTGAATTGAAGAGGTAGAATTTCCCCTGACCGCTCTCATACCATGTTGGGCTGAGATAGCCCCTTAGGATCTTTTCAGGGGAGAACTCTGGGTAGGACAATTGTAATAGCGGAAGCTTTTAGTGAAGTAATTGTGAACCACCTTGCGCTAGTATGTGAGGGCAAAGTAAGTATTAATTATAACAGGAAAGTACAAGAATATATAGTGGTGTAAGGAATATCAAAGGATACGGTTATAACTACTTTTACTGTTGCTGTTGCGGTTCGATACAGTACGACTCGGGCAACTGCTCTGTAACGAGTCAGTTGTATGTCCTTAACTGTCGCGCTGTACTTGTCGGGTCAAAGGTCAGCGACCTTTGACCTTCGCGTAACCTCCAGCAACCTCTTCAACCCCCGAGGGTTGACTCGCGGGTGCTTCGGTGTAGTTTGCCTCGCTTCTGATGCGGTGTTTTCGACACGACTGAAGCGCTTAGGTCTTATTGTTTCCAACAATCTTTACTGTCCGTTTAGAACAGACTCGTGTTCGCCAGCCCGTCATGTATTTCGCATTGTGCATTTTTGTAGTGCCATTTTTGCATCCTCGCATTTGCACTAGCGCTGCATGTACTTTGCGGTATACAAGCATGTTGATCTGCTGAGGACGGCCTTAACAACCATGGGCATTGCCGTTTACACAAGAGAGAGACCAGGATTCTATCAAGCAGCTTCTCCAATTTGGTGAACGGATAGTACGTTAACTTATGGTGAATGAGGAATACACATAACTAATGGATACCGTTCCAAATATTAGCGCCCCTATTCTCAAGATTCTTCAATCATATACTGGTTGGTACATTAGCCCATTTCACGTTGACACAACAAAGGAAGTAATATTCAAGAGGAAATTATTCTAATAACCAGTGTCAATTGAATAATAAGGTGTACTCGACGACCACTTTATTTCAAGGGTGTCCTGGCGACATGATCGGCGAGAAAATCGAGCAGTCGCACGCCGTCAACATCACCGTCAGCCTCGGCGAGACGAATCCACATGGCTTGGAACTCCGGGCGAAGCGGAGCAGGCCACCCGGACTTGACCTCACTAAGTGCGACACGTCATCGACATCCATTTCGCCCGGTTCGGCAAGGGACTTGTAACAAGCTTCTCGTGCCACACTGTTGGACCAGAGCAGGAGCCCACCTTGGTTTGCTGGTCTCTCTCCCGAACCACACTTGCTGCTAGGGGGACGCGTCGCATTAGCCCATTACGGGCGTCCTCGAACATTGCGCTTCGGCGCCAGGCTTGCTCGTACCTCCGCACCTCGCTCTTCCCGTCCCATCCCACTTTTGCTGTTCGCTTCAAGCCCTTTTTCAGTCAAACCCAGGCCTTGCACATTCTCGTTTTGCACTTCGTGCCCGTCGTTTCGCCACTCCATTCCGCGCCCAATGTCGCGTTACCGCTGTAAACGACGCCTTGAACTATCTAAACGCTCAGAGACCGCTCGGTAGCTTATCCTTGGGACTATCGCTTGAAATTTGTTGCGACGTCTTGTCACCTCCTGCGTCGTCTCCTAGGTTGAACAAGCAGACATACAGCTGCTGAATTAGAGCGGTGCTTCCACCGAGCCAGCTATGGCGTTGCCATCGTCGTCCTCCTCGGCCAGCGGAAAGTTTGATCCTTCCGCGTATGCAGCCCTTCGTAAGGAGCAGTTTGCTAGGGCGAAGGAGCTTCGGGAAGCGCGCTCTGGAATGATGGGCGACAACAATCCCCGTATCACGTTCGGCCCCTCCATGGGTGCGTGTTTGCAGCGATGGCTCACTTTCTACCTCTCTTCATGGCGTCTTTACCCGCTGCCTGCTGATTCTTGCAGTTACGATAAAATTTATATTTCCGGGTTGAGACCTGCAAGCTCGTAGAATGAATCTTACTTTGCCGTGACTCTTGTTCCAGATACTAATTTTTCTTCACGTTTCCTTTTCATCACCGCCATTTTTCCTTACTTGCCCTGATCGCAGCGTCCCAGACGTCGCCGGGTCTCACGCGGTCTCTGTCGTCGAGCGACCTCTCTCGTCGTCGCAAAAGCGACGTGCCTAGGCACCAGTCGCCGCAGCCGAAGCAACGCACGCCACACTACGCACTGCCGCTCAACCACGGCTCGTCCTGCTCTCATCGCAACTCCCTCGGCGGCACGTCAGGGCCTCTCAACGACAGCGCCACCAGTTCTGTTTCCGCCTCTGGTCCGATCAAGTCGCAGAAAGGGGCCTTTACGGGGCCTTACCGGAACGGGCCTGCGGAGGGGTCTGCAGGGGGAGCAGGCGCGAAGCGCAAGCCGCACGTGCGCAAGGACGCTCGCGCTGGCGCGGTGAACGGGGTGAAATCTATCTCCGCACTGAACGACGCTTCCAAGTTTACCGAAGAAGAGCTCGCCGCATTCAGCGCCGCAGGTGCCGCTGCCGAGTCGCTTCTCGCGGAGGAGAACGGAATAACTGTGGCGTCGGAAACGGAGGTATCAGTTCCGACTGAAGAAGTGGTGAAGGAGGTGACGCTGGAAGCTTCGGAAACGGTGGTCGATGCCTCGGCTGCTGCTGCGGCGGCTGGGGAGGGCCCAGAAGGAACAGCGCGGCTAGAGGCTGACTGCGACGCAGAACAGAGCAAGGCGACAGGAGGGGATGGCGAGCAGCGTAGGAGAGAGAGCAAGGGAAGCAAGGGCCTGTTCTCCCGGTCGTTCCGAGCATCCTTGCGCCTCCTACGGCGAGCACTCCCGAGCAACGGATTGGCCAACGGTGCGGGAGGGAACGAGGGCGGGGAATTGACTGGCGCGGAGGCAGGGAAGAAGACGGGCGAGCAGCGACGCCTGGAGCTGGATGATGTGAACGGGAACGAGGGTGGACGAGGGAAGAAGAACGGCGGCAGCGAGAGTGAGGTGAAAGGGTCCCAGGGTGCATGGATGGAAGTGTTGCGTGCTCCGAACAGCAGCAGTAACAGCAGCGCGGGCCATGGAGGTGCTGGGTTGAGGAAAGACAAGGAGAATGTGCATCGGCTGGCGGTGTGAACGAGGAGTTTATGTAGGAGATCTATATGGAATGTGGTGGTACATTTGCGTGGCAGGTGGTATTCTGAATGGGGAGAAGCCAGACTTATTAGGAGTGTGTTGTACTCCCCCCCCCTCCTCCATTCCAGCCACGATCTGGCTAAATATAGTGCATCGTTAGCAAGGTTCGTGCATTAGAATACAACCAGTATGAAATAAGTCCTAGGTATACGGTGGGGATAGCGGTGAGATTAGACTCCGGGTACAGTTCATATCGTCCTTCATCACCTTCTATCACTTAGTTGCTATATTTCTTTTATGGAGGTAAGATTCTGTTGCTATATTTCTTTTATGGAGGTCAGATCCTTCATTGTTTGCCACTGATGCTGAAACCCCACTCATTTATGGCTAATAGACATCTCAAGCAAACTTGCTCTTGCTGATTAAATTGGTTTCGTACAACCTGCTTATTATGATTTTTGCTGTCACATGTAAACTGTCTGTTCACTTCTGGCATACACGCTAAACGAATTATGCGGTCACCAAGGACATGAATTCAATGACATGCTATTTTGTCTTTTAGTGAACTGTTTGACCAGGCGGTATGTCATGTCATCTCAAGTCAACGTGTCACAGTGTCAAGAATGCCGAGCCAAGTCTGTCAACAAGCCACAACAAAAAACAGCGGGCCTGCGACGTGATACTGTACTGGCACCCGCTTCGCTCGGAGTTTCGCAACCACAGCCAGTGAGCTCGCGAAGATCAGGTTTGCACCACGGATTTCGCGCAGAAGCGGCTCGGCTCGCGTTTCCCGCCAACAAGTCTTCAGCATCCGGGTTTGACGGCCTTTCGAATGTCGTGCCATACAGTTTGCCAGCATTCCTTGCACATAAGCGCCACGCACATACATACCCACTCAACATGCGGTGCGACGGATGTGTCAAGCAGCAACCGAACCAGCCCATTCCATTTGGGTCCGGAATCGAAAACGCAAATAAATTTTCTTATTGGGTGAACCGTAAAGACCGATTTCTGTGGTGGCTGGTAACAGGCGGGCCTCGGAAATATTTTCCTTTTCAAGACCGCGAAACGCGGTCAGCGGCATTCATGCGCGATGGGGAAACATATCATGTTACAGAGAGTGCAGGCGACATGCTGCCATGCCATCCATCCAACCCATACCATACCACACCGCCCGCCCACAGCGTGATGCGGAGCTTGCCTTGAAGTCGGCTGCACTGGCCGAGCAGGGACCAAGGCAAGGAGGGAGACCAGCGCCTGACCCGACATTCGGCTCTACCAGCTTCTGTTCCGACATTCGTAATGTAAAGAGCAAAGATTGGAAATGCTGCAGCAGCTCACGGCGTCCTCCTCTCATGAAGCATCACGTAGGCGGCAACTACAGGAACCGCGAGACTACCCCAAACCGAACCAGCCCAGCAAAAAGCCCCGAAGCGAGCGGGGCGAGGGGGTAGCCTCATCGTTCCTCCCTTTCCTCCCTCGTGGGTGGTCCCAACGCATCACCAACTTTTTTCCAGTCCTTGCGCGTCATCCTGTCAGCCTCTCGAACCTCTAGCCTCGACATGACTGATCATCACATCAGCCCTCCCGAGTCTAGAGTCCCGATGTCATCGCTTCTGAAACGGGCGCAGCAGCAGTAGCAGGCGCACGCTTCCTCAACAGCCTTCCCTCCGTTTCCTCTCTGCCGCCCCTCTCCTGTGAACCAGCTCTCTCCGCACTCTTCGGTTGCCTCTCCCTCTCCCTCTTCCTCTCCCTCTTCCTCTCCCTCTTCCCTCGTCTCAAATAGTAGCGCGCCTCCTGCATTCAGAATTCAGCTTCAGACTCATCCACTAGTTCGCAACCCCCCTCTTTCGAAGATCACGAATTCGAATTCCTCTCTCTCCTCTCCCATTCATCGCACCATATGATTCCGTCGGCCATGGCTAGCTAGTAGCCGCGCGGAGACGTCTTTAGTCTCGGGAAACCCCCCTCCTTAGCTGCTCGTTGCGAGGGGGCGTAGGACAGCAGGATGGCGGGCAGTGGAGGGGGTAACTGCAGCCCTGCTGCGATGGTGCTGGATCAAGTGGTTCTAAAGCTCAACCCCACAAGAACAAGGTCTAGTCCTCTCTCCCTGCCTCTCCCTTTCTCTCGCTCTCGTTCTCTGCCTCTAGCTCTCTCTCTCGTTCTCTACCCTCTCGCTCTCGCTCCCTCTGCCTCTCGCCCCTCCCCGTTTACTCGTTGCTCTCCGTTTCCATCCCGACTCCCGTTATCCACCCATTCTGGTTGATCCGCCTACCTCGATCCGATTCCGCGATTTGATTGCCAAATCACCACGCGAGCCTCATGCTCGCTCTAGCCCAGACAAGATAAAAAAGAAACAAAGGAAGAATATCGAATCTGCCCAAATTCGAGAGCGGCACGCCCCGAGGGGTTGAGAATTTAAGGCATGCATGGCTAGTAGTGCCCGTACCCGGCGGCCTTAACGCCTGGCCGTTACTCTAGCCATGGCTACAACTATCGTTACCTCCTCCTATACCTGATGCGCTGCGCCCCTACCGGTTATCGTTTGCCGCTATGGTTACCGACACGTGATGCGCACGGCTTCCAGGTTCGGCGCACTCGTGCCCTGTTGAACCCGTCGCTCTCCTCTTACCGTCATCGGCTCTCCGATTCTTCCTCTCTCTTCTCTCTCCCCCTCCCCCCCTCTCACTCCCCCCACCTCTCCCCCTCTCTCACCCTCACCCTCTCTCCCACTCACGCCCGCTCTCCCCGTGCGACGCCAAACCGTCAGATGCGAAGTGGTGACGTCAACAGCGGGGCGAGTGGAGGTCGTATGCGTCGCGCTGCTGCGCCCGCTCGCGCAGCATATCGAAGCGGTGGAGCGCGAAATCTCCGCGGGCGCGCATGTGGTGATCCTGGATCCCCGCCAGTGCGCGCCGTACCACCGCCTCTTCCGCGCGCCGTTCGTGAGCAACGAGGACGCCGCCGCCGCCGCCGCCGCCATCGCGTGGTTCTCCAAGGGCACTCTGCAACGGTGCGTGCGTGCATCCCCTTTCGATGCGTCCCCTTTCTTTGCGTCCCCGCCGTTTCGTTTCTTAGCGTCGACCACCGTGCCCCACTCCGCTACGCTTCCCTTTCGCTTTCGCGTCACTCCGCTGACACCGGGAATTTCCGACGACGACTGACGCTGCTGTTTCCACTCCGTTCCGCTCCGTTCCGCCCCGTTCCGTTTCCGTTTCCGTTCCCTTCCGTTGCCGTTGCCTGTTTCCGCTTCCTTCCCCCTGGCAGTGTACTACGGTTCATAAACTCGCCCGCGCTACTGGAGCAAGCCGTGGCCATCACGCAGGAGATCACGAGCCTCACCAAGTCGCTGCAGCGCAGCACGCAAGTCGACCTTCACGACGCTGCCTGCATGGTGCGCCCGGTCCCGTCCCTTGCCGCCTTGTGCTCGCTTTCCTTACCAGCCCCCTACGTCCGTCCGTCCTTCCTCCCGTCTCCGTTTATCTGCCCGTTCGTTCCTTTTGTTTCTTTTCTTGTCTTTTCTTTTCCCCACGCGATCATCCTGTGTGCGGGTCACCGATTCTGTGTTGCCGCCTTCCCGGCGGCCTCCACTCTTTCGCTGCACATGTCTGTGCCACTGTCACCACTTGCACCGCCAGAATCGGCACGTCTTTCTCTCCTCTTGTCACTTGGCTCCTTGGCTCCTGTGTGTGTCTCTTCTTGTGTCCTGTCTCACTCATCCCCTTTCCATTCCTTCTCTGCTCCCCCCCGGTTTCTCCCTGCGTGGCAGCTTTCTGACAGAGCGCAGATTCCGGGAGGTACGTTTGCATTCTGCTTACTGGTTACTTGCACACATCGTTTTTCTGTGCTGGCCTCCATATTTCTCTCGTTTTACTCCATGTGGTTACTCGCTCACAATATCCTCACCTTGACTGGTCCATCTCACATCCTCTCTCCTCTCATCACGTTCGGTGGTCCCCGTCTCCGCCATTTCTTCCCTTTGCCCGCATCGCCCGCCACCAGACCCTCCCCCCAGCGCCCGCAGCAGCCGCGCCAGCTCCCCCTGTCGCGCCTCCCCGCAACCCGTGCGCGCGCCACGGTCGTCGTCGCGCTCCTCGTCTCCCATCCGTGACCAGATTCGGGTATGCCCGTCCCTCCCTCTCTCCCTCCCACCCTCCCACCCATCCTTGCATCCACGCACCCCCTTTCAAATCTCGCCTGCTCCCGCTCTGACTTACCCTTCTCAATTTCCGCTCTGCTCTCCACCCCTCTGCCTGTTGCTCTCTGTAATCTGCTCTGCTGCTAGTCACCCTGCTCCCTCTCTCTGCCTTACCTGCTCCCTCTCCATCCGTTCATTCTTCCTTCCTTTCATTTTCCCTTTCTTCCCGTCCGCCATCCACACCCCCCCTCCCCCTTCTCTCCCTCCTCTTCTCTCTCTCTTGTGCAGGCACTGTCAGAGCTTGAAACGACAGAGACCAATGCGGAGCTAGTCGAGTAAGGAAGCCTGTTGGTTGTTGAGCAACCATGCACGCATGTTTTGGTCGAATACGCATGCATGTAGCACTGCTGTCTGTATGTCTACATGTTGCTTTCATCTGTGCGTCGAGTCTCTCTTGTTCTCGCTCGTGAGTGCGTGCATGCGCGCTTCCAACCGCCTTGCGCCCTGTGTGATTGTGTCTCTCACTCCCTCATCCACTCTCCCTCACCCCTCAATCCCTCGTCCACTCTCCCTCACCCCTCAATCCCTCGTCCACTCTCCCTCACCCCTCAATCCCTCGTCCACTCTCCCTCATCCACTCTCCCTCATCCAATTCCCCTCACCCCTCAATCGCTCCTCCATTCTCCCTCCTTTCCTCCCTCTCCTCCCTCCGCAGGCGTCTCCGCCGGGGCGTGGAGGCGCGGCGCGGCATGCTGAAGCGCGAGCGCGAGGTGGCGGTGGCGCGCTCGCAGGCGGCGGGCTTCACGGCGGACCACCTGCCGTCGCTGCTTGCCTTCGCCGACTGCTTCGGCATGCCGCGCTTCCGGTGCGCCGCGCCACGGGGGACCGGGGGAACGGGCGGCATGGGGGGGAAGGGGCGGCATGGGGGGAAAGGGGAAAGAGTTGAGGGAATATATGGGGGGGAGTGGGGAAGAAGGCTATAAGGGGGACGGGAGAGGGTTGTTGGTGATTGTTCGCGGACAGCTTGTTAATCGCGCCTCTTCTGCTCCTCTCTACTCTCCCCTTCTCTCCCTCTACCCTCCGCCAAACCCCCTCCCCTTCCTCCCTTGTTCTCCCGCCATATCCTCGTTTGCTGCCCTTGTCCCAATTGCCCCCTCCCCTCGTTAACTGTTCTCCCCGTCCTCCCACTCCCGCTTTCCCCCGTCCCCTCACTCCCGCGTTCCCGCTTTCCCCGCTGCAGGTCCGCCTGCGTCTGCCTCTTCTCGCTGCTGCGTTTCCACCAAGAGAACGTCTCCCCGCGACCCACGCCGCACATCACGCCGCACGTCACGCCGACGCTGCCGGGAGACGTCGTCATGCACGCGCAGCGCCCCGCGTCCCCCGTCCCCGGCGGAAGCTCCTCCGCGCACGGGGGGTGGGCGCTCGCCCCGCTCGTGCGCACGGCCAGCGGAAGCTCGGCGGGATTGCGCGAAGGCGGCGGAGGGGGGCTGATCCGCACGATCAGCGGGGACTACAGCAGCGGAAGAAGCAGCAGCGGCGGCTTCGGCGGCGGCGGGGGCGGCGCCGGAGCGCTGACGAGCCGCAGCAGGAGCGCAAGCCCCGCACCCGGCGCGAGATACGGCGCGGAGAGGGAGCGGGAGCGCGAACGGGAACGGGAGCGCGATCTGGCGGCAGCGCTGGAGGAGGAGAGAGCGAGCGAGCGGGCGGGGCGGGAGCGGGAACGCGAACGGGAGAGGGAACGCGAGCGGGACATGTATCATTCTCTCCATTCTCACCAGCATCAATACCACCATGAGCGTCAGCGGTCCTTATCGCCGCTGCCCTCCTCTGCCTCTGGCGGTTCGCCTTCCGCGTCCGCGTGCGCGTCCTTCGCCACTTCTTCCGCCGCGTCTCCCGCCGGCGCGTACCCGTACGCTCCCGCGCATCGCTCCCTGATTGGTCGCGATGACGTGGATTCGCTCGACGGGTTCTCGCTGCAGCACTCTGATTCGCTCTCGTCGACCGCGTGCATGCTCGGCGCGCTTGCGCCCAACAGCCCCCGCTACGGCGGCGGCTCCCCCGTTTCCGCCTCGTCCGCCGCCACCGCGGCGGCGGCGGCGGCAGCTGCGGCGGCTGCGGCCGCCGCCGCAGCGACGGGTGGTCCCCAGTCCCCCCGCTCCGCTATGTACGCGCAGATATTGGCGGGAGTGCGGCAGCAGCTGACGGCGCAGGGGGCGCCAGGCGGTGGCGCGGCTGGGGGAAACGGGGCGGGCGGGGGGATGCCGCCGATGGGGGGAATGTCGGTGCACGATGTAGCTGCCGCCGCTGTCGCCGCTGCCACTTTAGCTAACCAGCAGCACCAGCAGCAGCAGCAGCAAGCAGTGGCGGCGGCGGCGGCAGCGGCAGTGGCGGCAGCAGCAACAGGAGGCGGTGACCTTCAGACAATTCTCTCAAAGATTATTATGGCTTCGTCTGGCCCGTCCCCGTCGCCGCCGCACGCGCTGCCACTGCTGCAGCAGCAGGCGCAACCGCAGCAGCAGCAGCAGGCGCATCAGCTGTACCCCGCGGGTCAACACGAGATCGCGCACGTACCCGCAGCAGCAGCAGTGATTCCAGCGGCCGCCTCCGCCGCTACAGCTGCTCGCGCTGCTGCAATCGCTCCTGCTCCTGGCCTTGGCAGTGCTGCTAAAAGCAGCGCATCTGGCGCGGCAACGACCGGAGCGAAATCGGACGGCGTGGGAAGCGCACTTAAGACAGGTAATAATAGCGGCGAAAACGGCGCCGCTAAAAGCAGCGGCAATGGCGACGGTGGCATTAGCGGAAGCGGCGGCGGTCGGTGGAGGCAGCCCGCTCGGCGCGCTGCGCGCGGGCGGTCGGAAGGGCGCACGCTTGTTGGCGGCGCGCGGATCAGCAGCAACGTGACAGGCGGTGGAGGAATGGCGGGCCAGGGGGAAGCAACCGGGGCAGCAGGCGGAAACGCTGACGGGCAATCGGCGGAGGTGAAAGGGGGCGGTGGCAGCAGCGCCATCGGCGGCAGCGGCGGCGGCGGAGGCGGGGGTGTGAACGCGGCGGCGGGTGATTGCGGAGCAAGCGGCGGCGCGTTTTGGCCTTCAGGCGCATCGGACGACTCGGACTCGGGGAGCTTCTACGGCCCTGCCGCTGTGGAACTGGAGACTGCCGCGCGCGCGGCTGCGGCAGCGGATGGCGCGGGAGGCGGTGCGGAAGGGGAAGGGGGAGGCGGAGCGCTGGTGGGAGCTGCGGCGGGGGCAGAGGTGGCGGAAGAGAAGGGGGTGTTGTCTGATAACAGCGCAGGAGGCTTGTCGCACAGCTCGCAGCGAAGCTTCGCGGGCGGAGTGTTTCTCGGGTCGTCCTCGTCGTCATCCGCGCGCGGGGACGGAAGCGCGAAAGGCGGCGGCAGCAGCGGCGGAAGCAGCGGCAGCAGCAGCGGGCCCAGTCGCAACAATAGCAGCGGGGGAAGCGGCGGGGACAGCAGCAGCGGAGGAGATTCCTCCGCGGAGTCGGAAGCCGCCGCGGCGCTGCCCGTGTCTGTATCGCGGAGGTGGCGCCGAGCGGGCGGAAGGTCGTCCCCCGGCGGATATCGGAAGAGCCTTGGGGGGAGTTCCGGCGGAGTTTTCAAGGAGGAAGGCGGAGAAATGGAGCAGATGAGTTTGGATGGCGGCGGGGTGGGGGAAAACATTTCCGCGCCGCGCAAAGCGCCTCTCCCATCCCCGCCGCGCTCTCCGCGCGCAGTAACAATTTCGCCGGCGCTTTCGCTGCCATTTGACCCGGCAGAAGGGGGCGGAAATTTTGGCGGAAAAGGCGCGGGCGCGGGGGATGAGTCCGCAAGGGGGAGGAGTATTTCCCCAATGGCTTCCCCTTCCGCTGCGCGTGAATGGGCCGCGTGGACGAACGACTGGTCGGGAACGAGCAGCAGTAACTCGCAAAACAATTCGCGAAGCCCATCGCCCAATCCAGCGAAGAGTCCCAGCCCAGAGCCTGCAGGTTCGGACGGGTCACCCAGGTTTGGAAACTCACGGCTGTGGGGGTTTGGTGGTGCGGGTTCGGCGGTGGGGGGAAGGAAAGTTCAACCCACAGATGCTACAGTGCGCAGTTTTGCAGAGTGGATTGATGTGAAAAAAGGAATGGGGATTGAGAGAGCGGAGGAGGGAGAGGGGGGAATGCACAAGGGAGAGAAGGGAATAGAGGTTATGGTTGGGAATGGCGAGCAAAGCAGTAATGGAGGTGGGCAGGAGAAAGAGGAGTGGAGGAAGCAGGGATGGGATAGGACGGAGGAGAGAGAGAGCGGAGAGAGGAAGAGTGGTGGTGGGCGTGGGAGGGAGGAGGGGAGGAGCAGCGGTGGAAGCGACAGTGTTGTGGAATGGGGCAAGGGAGGAGAGGATGATGCCACTAAGAAGCTTGTGTGCAAGGTACGGTGGGGGAAGTCTGTGTGTGGGTGGTGATGCAATGAGTGCTTGCTTGTGTCTTGGTGCTGCCCTCTTGTCGCCCACTTGCTGCCCGCTTGTCGCCGTCTTCCACGCCTTGCTCTCCCCCTCTAACTCTGTTTCTGTGTGTGCATGTGTGCGTGTATGTGTGTGTGTGCATTATGCATGTGTATGTGTGTGCATATGCATGTGTATGTGTGTGTGGTGCATATGTGTGTACGTGTGTGCATGTGCATGTGTGTATGTGTATGTCTATGTCTATGTGCGTGCATGTGTATGTGCGTGCATGTGTATGTGTGTGCATGTGCATGTGTATGTGTGTGCACGTGTACGTGTATGTGCATGTCGTGTGCATATGCATCTCCTGCCACACACCAGGTGAAGGAATCAACCTCACATACGGATACCAGCAGCAACAAAGCAGCAGCAGCAGCAGCAGCAGCAGCAGCACCAGCAGCAGCCATGCACCCCTAAACCCGGCCAACAGCACAGCACCTCCGTCACACCCTCTTCTCCCGTGCTCCCTCCCTGGTGCTACTCTCCCCGCAAGTCCTCCCCCTCCCGCGCGTCCTCACTCCCCTCCAGCCCCCGCGGTCCTCCTTTCGTCCTCTCCCCCTCTGCACTTGCTGGGTCACCCTTCACTGGAACAGGAGGAGGAGCAGGAGGAGGAGGGGCATGCAAAGGTTATGGTGAAGCAGCAGGAACAGGAAGAGGAACAGGAGCAGGAACAGGCGCAGCAGCAGCAGCAGCTGCTGCAGTGATAGCTCGTACAGTGGTGACCCCACCGGCTGTGGCAGTAGAGCGAGTGGCGTCCACTTCTGTGCTATCTCTGGGGACAGTGGAAATGCCACGCCGATACGCCTCCCCCAGTAGGAACCCATCTCCTTCGAAACGAGCAGCAGGAGCAGGGGCAGGAGTAGGAGGAGCAGGAGCAGAAGCAGCAGCACCGGGTCTTGTTCGGTCCCTCTCCAATGCATCCACCAGCTCTAACAGCAAGCCTCTTGTTCCAGACCCAGCGCAAGTTGCAGCAGTGGCTGCAATTGCTGTGGCCAAGGCACAGGCCGCCTCAACAGCAGCAGCTGCAGCAGCACCAACAGCAGCAACTGCACAAGCGTCTGTTTCTCCCACGGCCTACTCCTATGTCCCTGCCTCTGCCTCTGCTTCTGCCTCCGCCTCCCCATTACCCTCTCGCCTGCCCATCCGCCCCTCTCCACCCTCATCCCCCCGCTCATTCCTGCTCCCTCCCTCCCTGCCCTCCACCCTCCGCCTAGAAAACCTCTCTTCCTCCTCCCCCTCCGCTGCTGCTACCAACGGCAAGTTGCCACTCACCCCTTCCCCAACGTCCCCTGCTGCTACTGCTGCACACACCAAGGGAGCAGCAGCAGCAGCTACTGGTGGTAGTGCTGCTGCTGCGGCTGGTGTTGCCGGTCTTGCCCCGATTGGAACTGGTGTTGGCACTGCCAATTCTGTGCTTTCTATGGCAACAGACAGCCCTGTCCCTGCATCCTCCCCTGTGACTGCCTACCTTATGAGGAAACTCGGTGCATCGGCTGCTGCTGCTGCTGCCGCCGCCGCTGCTGCTGCTGGAGCTGCAGTATCCCCCATAGCATCCCCTGCAGCATCCCCCATAGCATCCCCTGCAGCATCCCCTGTGACTGCCGTTTCTGGTGGTGGTGGTGGTGGTTTGGGTGGTGGAGCGAAGGGAGGAAAACTGGGGACCGATGCAGGTAAGTGGCAGGGCACAGC